AGTGGGAGGGTTTCTACTCCTGATGGCATTTTGTATGCTACTCCCTTGTTTGATTCCGAAGCTGCTCCGTTTCCTCCATAGTATAATTGACGCTACTATAGAGAGGAAAACAGCAGTTCATGTCCTTGCCCTTTTGTTATGGGCAAATGCAAATATTACAAGTTTTAGAATGAAATGTTGTATTTCTTAAACTGTGTACTTTGTCTTTAAGAGATATTGCAAACTGACAAGGTGTTAGAAATGGAACATATTGTTTTTCATAACTGTTTCTTTAAGCAATAACCCCAGTGCATAATATGTTTGCGCTATTTTGTCCCAGATGAATTACAATAACAATAATGCATAAACAAGCTTCAAGGCTATACTACGACTCTTGCAGTACACAATATACTGTGGTAACCCCAAGTTAATGGAACTTCCCCAAATCCGGGAATCTCCCACGACTGTGCACTTATGACTTAGTATAAACAACAGATAACCTATTCAGACTTTAAGATGCCATCTTGAACTAAGTCAGGAAAATTTCCATGACGTATGCACCCTTCTGTTATGGCCTTGTATGTTTGCCAAGTTAAGGGAGGTCCTAAATTGAATAAAGTAAAAGAAGTGTTACTTTTTCATATTTGAACTACGGTAACCTAAAATGGAGACACATAAAGGTATAAATATGTGTACTTTTAAATGTTAAGACACAGAGGAGAGACTTGGAGACAGACAGGCTGACATGATGACATGTTCAGAAGGGTATGTTAACCTATTAATGATATTTGCAAGCATGTAATTTAATCTTATAAACTCTGCTATAATGGATTTTATATTTTTATATAATAAATATCCAAAAGACAAAACTATTGCTTCCAAGACAATCCTTATTTTATATTGTATTCTCAATTATTTGTATATGTTAAATAGAGGATCTCTTACACTATATAAAATTATGGCTAAGATATCTGTATGGTTAGCCCTACTAAGTTCTATACTTTAAGACGTTTTAGTGGTAAATAAGGGAACCAGCCACGGTTACAGTTTGGAGGTATACACCCCTTAATCAAGAAGATACTGTGTAACCTCGCTTGTCTAGAATCCAACACTGGATTGGTATGGTATTCCTGGTTATGATGCATTTCAGCCACCTGTATCCAGGTATTGAAGCATCAAAGGGGGGAATGTGGTAGAAGCTACAGGATGTTTAAGTAAAGTTCAGTACTCACATGGTTAAAACTACTGTGCAACTATCTTGGACCAGGGCGCATGTGTGGAATATCAGGTACGCCCACTATTAGATAATATGTGTAAGAGATAAGTTTCAGTTTAGTAATTGGATGTAACCATAGAAATGTAGGTGTAATTACTGTATTTTATATATACATATGGAATACATCATTTACAGTATATATTCTTTGTTTGGAAACTGACCAGTGCACAGTACATCGTGTTCTTTATAATAAAGGTGCTGGGACTTTGCAGCTGCAAACTAATAAAGAGCCTTTGCTTTTCAACGACCTGTGTGTGTCTGGAGTGTCCTTGTTTCATATCAAACCTGAGTGGGTTATCACAGCTGCCTAAAATGCATCCAAACATTCAGTATCTCCTCCCTCTGCATGCAGACACTGAACTTTCCTCATAGATATTCGTTGATTCAATGTATCTCTATGAGGAGATGCTGATTGGCCAGGGCTGTGTTTGAATCATGCTGGCTCTGCCCCTGATCTGCCTCCTTGCCAGTCTCAGCCAATCCTATAGAGAAGCACTGTGATTTGATCAGGCCACCACTTCTGATGATGTCAGCAGACTGCTTGTTTTTTCTGAGGCAGACAGGGCAGAGCCAGCAGCTTCAGGCTTGAATACAGTAAGATTTTTACTATATTTATGGAGGCATGAGGGATCCAGGGGGATTAGATGGTGGTTTTAACACTAAAAGGTCAGAAATACATGTTTCCTTTAAGACTTTATGGTGATAAATAGGGGAACCAGCTGTGGTTAAAATATGCATGATTAAAGGTCATTTTCGGGGGGCGGAGCTAGCTGCAGACCAGCATGGATGCACCTGTGTAAAGCTCCGGGCCAAAGCAAGCAATATAACGAATCTACCGGCGGAGACTGGGCACATACCTACCCCATACCTTGCCTACCGGTGGGGGAAATAAAGATGGGCAAGAAAAACAAAAAACCGAGGCCAGACAAGCCCCCTTTCAGCCACGATATCAGCGAACTCCTGAGGAATTCACAGAAGGCCGCATGGGTGAAAATGGTGCTGAGGGAAGCCGAGTATTCCGACTCTTCAGAGGATTTTTATCCAGACCCGGGGGAAGGCGCAGCAACAACCCAGCCCAAAGGGCACACAACCAAAGAACCTCCAGCAGGAGAACCAGTCACTGGAGCCCTGCTAACAAAAATGTTTATAGAACTCAGCTAGAACTAAGACCTAGCTGCAAACAGGGCAACCTTCAAATAGGCTATGGAAAGGGCCAATATGTGGCTCACCTCTCTGGAGACCAACGCAACTGCCCACGACGGTCGCCTAACTAACCTGGAACAGAGACTATCCGATCTCCACAAACAACAACTTGGCCATAGCAGATAAAGTGGAGGCCTTGGAAGACCGCAGGCAGAGACATAACTTAAAACTCAGAGGGGTACCTGATGTCATTGGGCTTGCCAACCTTCCACACTGCGTGCGGCGCCTCCTGGCAACGTTGCTGCAACCCAAACAAGCTAAACAGGTGAAATTAGACGGATTGTTCCACCTGCCCAAGCCGGCAAATGCACCCCCAAACGTCTCGGCTGATCTCATTGTGAAATTCCAAACCCACCAAGACAAGACCGCGGTCCTGGCAGCGTGCAAGGGGAAAACCCCTCTACCATTTGAGGACTCTCAGTTAAAGCTGTTCCCCACTCTAACTAGGAGCACACTCAGCTTTCGTAAAGCACTACAACCAAGCCTACAACATCTAAGATCCGATATCCAGTACCGCTGGGGCACACCGAGGCTTGTCACGTTCACCTTTCAAGGGACTGCATACAGGGCAAGAAGCCCACAGGAACTAGACTCTCACCTGGCCCAGCTGGGCCAAACAATGGCGCAAGCAGAATCCACGACCACCCTGACCCAGCTGGATCCCACTACAGTGCGAGAGTTCGTACTCAGATCGTCCTGGCGATCCAACTCAGCTGGCGGCAAAACGTGAGGGAGAAACACAGGCAAGACGAGACTCCGATCTATAGGATGCCACAGACCCCGTCATTACATTCAGTGACTATACTTACTATGTTTTAACTCGTTATTTTGCTTGATGGACACTATGCTAGCACCTAAACATTTGTTCCCATGATCCCTTCTTTTTTTCTTTTTTATGAACATCCGTTCTCAGCCAAGCTAGAGAGGGCCAAAGTACCACCCCATTCACGGGCTCCCTTTATCTTAATAGAGCCACATGCAGAAGGGCCCACACAAAGTGCTACTATCAGTCAGAAATGTTCACTTTAACGTTGGCCCCAATACCACCCGCCCTCCTCCCCCCCTACCCAGGATAGTTCAGTTAACCTATTTCGGTGAAATCTCGGAGGGGGCCACCCCCGCTCCATGGAACACCTAAGCCGATACAGGATGGACTGATTTTTTTAAGTATACCTCTTATAGGTGCCAGGGGGACATACCTTGTTGAATAACATGTCTTAAAAAAAAAAAAAAAAACTCACTCAGCAGGATAGCACATCTCAGCCAGTGACAATGCTTTTGTTATTATTTGTGACCGGGCGACAGCCCACATCTTCTATTGTTTTCTCTTTTACACCTGCTGAGTGATCAAAATAAAGAATTTTAAAAAAAAAGGGTAATTTTCACTTCCTAGGACTTTCCAATATTATGTTTACTTATCCCTTTATTTAACAAATATGTATTTGTGAGGTGTGAAAAATAAAATTAAATGTATAGGTCCACATCTATTTATGTTGCAACTGGATACCTCCATTTTAGCTTTTGGCCAATCATGGTTAACTCTGTATTTTGCACAGGGCAGAGAAGACGAGAAGTGAAAAAATGTTTTGGTTTATCCTCTTCATTTGTACTGTTTGCCCTATGTTTACCTTCTCCAAAGTGGATTTTCATTGCAATTTATTCCGAAGGGCATCAGCTTATCAAGCTATTTAAAGAATAAATATTGAGTGTAAGTGCAACTAAGAGTTGCTATTTTCTAAGCTTTTCGTGTCAGACTCCTGCCACATCGTTCACCCTCCTGAAAGAGTTCAACCTCAAGATAACGCGACTAGCATGGTTCTAAAATACATGCTTCTTATGGACGTTTAGTCATAGAGTTCTCTACAATTATTTACCTTTGTTAATGCTCTGCTAAAAAACGTAATTGAAGATACATGTGGACATCTGGTGATGGAAGCAAGCTTAGATGAAAGGCTAGTAATCCTTATTAAACGTGACGCGCAATCTCAGAATCTACTTTAAATCCTTTCACATAAGATTTAGATCTGAACTCAACCAGCAGTGATTAAAGCAGCAGTTCTTGGTTAATTTACCATCTGTAACTCAGAGAATTTAAAAACCATTTGCATCCCGCTCACTTGTGTACTTTGTCTAAGGATTGAGGATTTTCATAGCACTATAATCACTACAGAGGAATGATGAGTCCCACTTGAGTTTTTTTTCATGTATTAATTTTTTTTATAAAGAGTTTGGCAAATGTATTCTAGTGCTCAAAGCCATCTGTTTTACCATGTGACTTCAGTATGAAGAATTTTAATTTCCTCACTCCCCTTGCAAGCTTATGAAGAGCAACCATGCTTTATTGATGAACTCACAGAAAGGTCTTTTAGGGTACGACATTGCAAGATAAGGGGTGCTTACCTTCCATTGTAGCCAAGGAGATAGCACAGAAACGTGTCAAACCACAATAGTGAGAAACAAAAAAAGACACTTCACAAGCCCACATATTGATTTCTAGGACCATAAACACTACAATAAGCAAAAATAATAGCATTATGGGCATGTATCTTTAAGATAAATTTACAAGCAGTGTTTTGTTATTGACTGTAAAATGACAGGTAAGTCTCATTATCCGTGGATATCAAGGGTTTCTACAAATGGTAACCATCAGGTTAAATTTAAAATTACGAAACATCTGGAGCCTGCTTGTGGGATAAGTATAGAAACTACTGGTATATGAAATAAAATACAGTAGAACCTCGGAACTCGAACTTAATGCGTTCGAGATCCAATTTGTTCGAGAACCGAATCAACATTTCCCATAAGAATTAATATAAATTTGATAAATCCGTTCCAGATTCCCCAAATTACAGCATTTTAACACAAATTTTACAGTTTAATAATGCCTTACATGCATGAATTTATATAGGAAAAAAAATAATAAACACAATGTACAGTAAATGACATGAAAATTTAGCTTTACTTTATCTGTAATGATTAGAGTTGATGGTGTAAGTGGAAAGGAGAAGAGAAATTATTGTTTTAATGGGGATAGGTAACTGTTCTTCTGGCATTTAAATATGTCTAAAGTGTGTCTAATTGAACATGTTTGTGGCATGTTCGGGTACAGAGTATCGTTCGCGTGTGATAAATTTTTTACTCTAAATTTGTGTTCGACTTCTGAATTGTTTCAAAAGGGACCGTTCGAGTTACGAGGTTCCACTGTATACTTAGCAGCACTGCACAGTGTTCAAAATATGAATAGTTTTGGATGTAAATATTTTGGACCATATTTTACCCATCAACATGGATGTTTAAAAGAAAAGAGGCCATTGGCGTTCTCTCTTTTTTTGGAGAAGTTTGACAAAGAACAAGGCTTTCACTTTCACTCATAGCCCGCCCCTTATGTAACCACATTGATAATGTAAAATTTTAAAGTCTGCATTTTTAATATCAATTTTGTCCAACTTGGATTGTAGTAATGGGCTGGGGTGCAGTTTAGCAAAGCATTCTCAGCCTATTTTGGCCACAGAAATCTCAGCTCAGGACTTTCAAGTAAGGGAGAAGTTAATCATAATAATGTGGACGTGTACTGTAAATTCTGCATTCTCAATGTGGCTTGATAGAGGGCTACTACACAGTGAGCTTTAGTGGTTATAGTGTTTAGTGTGCCACTTCAATTAAAAAAATTACACACAAAGTTAGGCTTTCTACCAGTTTCTCTATTTTTTCCCCTAGATTTCAAACCAGAAAAAAAGAGCATTAATAGGTTTCAAGATATCTAGTCCTCAACTCGCTAATCTTCTTCTCTAACATTCCTTAACTCCTTAACTTAAATGGTGGCATAGATGTATGTGTCTGGCCTAAGCGTTAAAGGTAAACATTAGAGTGCAATGTTCTTGATGTTAGGTAAACCCTCTTCTGGGCATATCTCCTGCTTGAATTCAGCCTAAGAGAAAGCAATGTCTGTAGGGGGGAAAAGGGATGCGGGGCAGATTCCATGTGAGAGGAGCAGCAGCAGCACAGAGAGAAAGAGCCTGAATTATGTATTACAGGTGTTTTGGGCAATATAAGAATGGAGGGACAGAGAACAGATATGTTATATTTACATACCATAAAATCAACATAAAAGGCAAGGGACTTTTAACTTGTTATGGAAAATAAGTCTGTGCTTCCCTAACAGGGGTACGCAGGAGAGGTGTGTCTTGCAGCAATTATAATACCCACTGAAAACACGATTGATGCTGTCAGCAGGAGACTTAGGCAATGGAAATAAATTGAAATATTCAATTGTATTAAGGGAAGAAACGCTTAATTGTATGAGTCAAGTCTAATGGTTAGAAAACTGCAGAGCTAAATTTGTCATGACTGTTTCACTTTAAGTTTAAAGATGGTTCGGTGCTAGACTCTGACTTGTTGGGCTAACCCAATTTAACCCCATGTATGCAACCCTTGACACAATGTGATTAGCATCAAAAGTATATATATATATATATATATATACACACACACACACGTATTTGGGAAATAACTAATTTAAAAGAGATGCGACCCCACGATGTTACCCAATGACAGCGCTGGAAGACAAGACAAAATGCAGTTCTTTCTTTTAGGGCACCCAAGATTTGCACCAATGCAGAGCTAATGAGTAATGTTCGAAATATTAATTGCTCAACCTTCTTGGAGCATATCAAGTCATCAATAATGGGGAGCGGGGAGAGGAAACATCATAACTATCCATGACAGGCATTTTTTGTCTTTTTACATTTTCACACATTTATCATTAGTTCTTGCCATGCCAGTAGATTTTTATTTCTTAGAGGTTTCATTTTTTTCTCAAAAAATAATCTGTTTTTGGGGGGTGGGGGAATCGGCCCCACCTGATTCTATGGACCAGTCTCAACTAATTCTCTCACTCATAGAGGCACACCACTCATATTAGATTTTAAAATGCTTAACTCTTGCTAATTGTATCTGGGTTTAGAAAGGTTAGGGCTGTATATGAGGTATAGTGGCTGTATTCTTTGGCAAGCAGAACATTTATAACCATCCAAATATATAGGTGCTATGATTATTTGTTGTCTTTTGGAAACAAATAACTCCCAACAAAAAAAGTCATTGCTTAATAAAGGATATAATAAGGGATATTATTATATAGGATATATAATTATAGATTTTAAGGACATAATTTGTTAGGAGATAACATCTCTTAACAAATAAGATAATTTCAGAGAAAAAGTTAAAGTTTGGAAGGGAAACACTCATCGAAATAATTTCTAGAAAAGAACAATGGAAGCTTTGCATCTTATTATACAGATGAATTATAGACAAGTGAACAGGCATGTGAAAATCATGCAACCAAGGCACTTCAAGTGTAGCTTGGACTAAATACCCCATAATTCTCTGCTGGCTGTCAAATATATAGCGGGAGGGTAAGACTGGAGAACTGAGAGATATACAACTGCAATTAAGGTATAGCAAACACAATTAGTCCATCCTCTGATAAACACCAATTTATGGAAATAAACAAAACCAATGAACATAAAAACAAAATGATTTATGTGGTTTAATGTATGTTAAATTATGTATCTAAATGGGAACAAAGATATAAAAACAAAAATACGAGACACACACTTCAACTTAAATTGACAAATATCTATAGCATATCAAGTACATGGCACAACATGAAGTATGAAATGTCTCAATGTCTGTGTCAATAAATCATGATAGAACGTGAAATTTAGGGCTGATCTGTACTGCAGGATATGAACTTAACTCTGGTAACTGAATAGGAGTTCTCAACTTGACCCGGGAGAAAATAGCTATTATATACCTGAGATGGCAATATAAAAATAGAATCTAACCCTTAAAATAATTCTAAATGGTTAAAACAAAACAAAGTGTTCATTTCCTAAGAAGGAAAGAAAATTGAAATCATTCTCTACCTAGAAAGGAGAAACATCACCGTAGGAACAGAGTAAAAGCATTATGCGAAAATAATTCATTTATTGATATAAGAATGAGGCCTTCCTTGAGAACTGGGGATGTATGTTCTTCGATTCAGTTCCAGAAGCAGATCAATATAACAGTTGAAGCCGATATCTCAAACTGGCTTAGAATTTTGTTGTAGGTCCATATATAACTCCATTGCTTAAGTGGTTAAATGTCCGCATATATGTAACGGGTAGGATAGATGAACAGAAGGTTTCCTTCAATGTTCTATTTTGTATAAGTCGTGGAGGTAAACTATTTTAACCTCAATAAATGTTCTGTTTATGTTCAAATGAAACTGACCCTCAGGAAAAATGCACATGGTGGTAAGAAAAAGAAAGCCATGCATCTTCTTAAAGTTGGATATTGGACAGAAAGAAAAAAAAAGTGCTTGTCTGCAGGGTTTACGAAATATGGATATGCAGTAAAGAGTGTTGGATCTTCTGCCACACTTTATATTTAACGAGTTGCTTAGAAGCTTCATGATGGTTTCAAAGTTGTCGGCTTAGTTTCTGTGCTTGTCTCTCCTTTGCTTCAAAGGCAAATTTAGTATCCTGAAGTTGGCCAATAGCTTCTCGGGCTTCCTGCATATCCTGCGTTATCTGGGTGTATTTTTGCGCCAAGTCCTTGTTCTCTCTCCGTATGTCTTGCACCAACTGGTTGACCTCTTCAGTTTGTTTGGTACAGTGGACTTTTAATTGTTCCACTTCAGAGAGCATAAGCTCCATTGACTTCACTAATGAATCAAGCTTCTCCTTAGACATGATGGATGGGTTTGTTCAAGTCGATAATAAAAACAGCAGCTGTCTTGGGAAGAAGAGACTGCAATCTCATGTCCGTCCAAGGCACCCCAGATATGCCTTCAAGTGTTTCACTTATACAGTCTCTTCATTATGTGTTCATGACATCATTACTAAGCCTCTTTGGGTAGATAATCGTGGCTCTTCAGTCCCAAAAGAAATAATCCACATGGATTGTAGCCTTATGCTGACTGATACACATGCAGCTCAGGACAGAGGCTTAAAACACACATGCCATCACTAAATGTCTTCATTTGAATCAATATTCATAAAGAGCCTAATGACCTTCGGAATAAAAACAAAAAAAAGCACTAAGTAATTTCATTCTGTGATTTCAAAAAAAGCAGATTTCTTGGCCAGAGGAAACCTCAATGAAAACAATCTTACGTAAAAAATAGAAAAGCCATTAAATATACTTACACAATGCCGATAGGGAAAGCCAATCCATGCATTATCTCATTAGCTTCCATGTGCAAGGACTCATTCACCCCACCCACCCCCCAAAAAATGAATATACGTTGCATAACAGAATACTTCCCAAGCCCCGGGCTTTTTAATAACATTTTTGCCAATGTATGTGTGCCTTTTCTAAGTAAATGTCACAACTGCTAGTGTGGTCAAACACGCAGAAACTTTGTAAACATATACATAGAAAATGAAAAGGAAATAAAAGTAAACCGGACCTTAGAATGGCCAGACTAATACGTTAGAGACAGAGAATGGCCAAAGGGAAAGCTGAGGTCAAGGAAGCCAGAAATACACAAATACCGTTTAAACAAGCCAAGTTAGGGGAACCAGAAATCAGAATAAAAAGGAGTAGCCAAGGTCAAAATACCAGAATATCAGAATCACAAGGATAAACGCACTCTCGGGAACCAGGAACAGGAATCCACGACAGGGCAAGGTACTGGGGTGAATTAGGGAATTAAATATCCCTCTCTAGGCTGTGATTGGTCAGAGGATGACCTCTGACCCCAGAATGTGCATGTGCATCGGTGTCGTGACGTCACACTCACGTCAGTATATTTCCGGAGGCGGAGCCACTGATGGACGCGACCGCATGGCGCCATCTTTCTTTTGCCAGGGCAGCATGGAGGAGCGGTTCTCGGCTCGCTGCTGAGCAGGTAAGCTCAGCTTGTCGGCACCTCGCGGCGAGTCGGGAGTCATAACAGTAACTTAAAATGTGGAGAACAATGTCAGCTCCAGGTATATTTAATTCATACAATGTGCAAGGAATGCGGATTTTAAGGTTAGGAACCATGTTTGACATTAAAAGCCCCTTTGTTCAGATGCTCAGGAACAAATATATGCCTGTAAGTAATCCCACCTCACCTAACGGACCATTCCTACAAACATGGATATATTTTTGTATTGCCTTATTTTAACTGGACATTTTTTAGAAATCTGAACAGTTTTCTTGGATTTATCTAATATCTTTTTCCCATCTGATCACTCATATATTGTACATTGTGGCTTATTGTTATGGGAATAATTGTCCTTATAGTTTCTAGCTTTTCCTGACTGCCATTTCAGTGCACAAGTTCGCTATTAATAATATTCCTCTTGAGATAAGTTCATATTTATACATTTGTCAATAATTTAAATATTTTTTTGCATTACCCCATATACTTCTATTTATGCAACGACTTCCAAAGTATAAAAAAAAAAATCAACAAGTTACTTTTAACGTTATTGTGTCCATCCATTGTTACATGTTCAAATACAAAAAATGTAAAACACACGACAATGGCATAGAATTCCATACTGATCAGTCACAACATTAAAAACACTAATGGGAGAAGTGAATAACATTGATTATATAACAATGGCACCTGTCAACCGGTGGGATATATTAGGCAGCCAGTGAACAGTTAGTTCTTAAATTTCATGTGTCGGAAGAAGGAAAAATGGGCAAGCAAACAGATCTGAGTGACTTTAATAAGGGCCAAATAGTAAAAGCATTGCTGTAAGTATTGTATAGGCGTATTAGGCAAGACAACTGGGTCAGAGTATCTCCATACTGGCAAGTTTTGTCTGGGGTTCCCGGTAAGCAGTGGTTGGTACCTACCAAAAGTGGTGCAAGAAAGGACAACCAGTGAACCGGTGTTAAGATCATGTGCGCCCAATGCTCATTGATGCACATAGGGAGCGAAGGGAAGCCTGTCTGGTCTGATCACACAGAAGAGCTACTGTAGCTAAAATTGTTGAGAAACATAATGCGGCCATGAAAGAAAGGTGTTAGAACACACAGTGCATCGCAGTTTGCTGTTTATGGTGTCATCGGGTGAGACATCAGTCCCCATGAGACTGGACTCTGAATTCAGTGTTGCAGATCAGAGAGACGTTCAACACTTAGGTTTGGGAGGTGGCCTTGGAGTTCAGCTTCTCTTAAGCTGTGAGCCCATTTGTGGAGCGGTTAGCCTGTGTTCTCTGGCAGACTGGAGGTCAGAGCTTAGGGGCTGCCTATGATGGCTAAGTGACCGATGACAGGTCTGAACTTGTTACCTCCTGGTTCTACACCAAATGTTGCAGTAGAGGAGTTGGAAGCTGGTGGACTGGGGGCATTTAAGGACTGCACCGTGGGACTGGTCCGGTGCCCTAGATTCCCATTGCATAAAGGTCGGGTACCGCTTGCTCATTTTGCCCTTCCCCGCCGCAATACTTGGACCCTTGCAGCAGATAAATACATCTGGTTTATAGTGCTAAATTCTTGTTTGATGCCACTACAATTTTGCAATTTATTTTGTTGTGTTCCAGTTGAGGACTCATTTTTTTTGCTTCTACACTTACCTTTCTTCTTTCACTTTCCATAATATCCTCTACTCTCTATACCACTCTTTCCTATTATCCTCCCCTTTCTCATACTTTCTGATCACAATTTTTGTAATTTATTTTCTGTTACATAATGCTCAACTGATCTCAATTAACATGCAATACACACTTGTGGTTTTATACAGATTTGTGCTGTAAGTATTGTACAAGGCACAAAAATCGATATCTAAAGCGGTAACAGTGCTCACTGACCTTGATTTTGCAGGAAGAAAAGCCTGTCGTTTTCTATCTTGTAGCCCGAAGGAGGATTGAGATCATTTAAACATCTAGGAGTAAAAAGGAAACGACTGAAAGAAAACTGATTAATAATAATTGAAGCAGTGAAAAAGAATAAAAATAAAACAACGAATAGTTAGATAAGAATTTTGTTGCACGTAATGTTTCAGATGTCACAAAAGCATTATAGCATAAATATAGGAATCAAGCAACATAGGTGTATTAGGCTCAGTTGCAACAAGATGTCTACAGCATCAACTAAAATCCCTATCGGGGATTAAATTATTTTTTTTTAAAAAAGGACCGAGTTTACTCCAACCGGGAACAACAATAAAAACAAATGAACACATTTTTAAAATATCACTTACTCCAGTGAGTGTGTCTGTTTAGGTGATGAGCCCCCCTTTGAATCGCATGAGAAATGTGTTTTAACTCACCTTTTTTGACCATGTGTTCTTATATTGCCATGGCTGAGATAATCAATATTTATGATCTCAGCTAAGTCAATGCTTTCCCATAGGAAAGCACTGGGAGATTATTGCGTTTGCGCAGCAAAATGCCATCCTGCACCAATCAGCATCTCTTAACAGAGATGCATTGAATCAATGCACCTCTATGGAGAACATTTTGTGCCTCCACGCAGAGCGTGATGCTGCACACTGTGCAGCACTGGACTAGGAATTACCTCTAGAGGCCGTTTGAATGGCTGTCACTAGAGGTGTTACTAGGCAGGGTTTACCTTGTAAAACCTACAGAGACAGGATCTGGACATTAGAACCACTACATGAAGCTGTAATGGTTCTGGTGATTATAGCATCCCTTGAAGAATTTTATTTTTGTAATTAAAAATTAAACTGTTAGTTTAAAAAAAACAAAAAAAACATGGCTCCTAACTTTTTTTTTAACTGGCTCCTAGATTCCAAGCAATTTTTCAAACCCTGGGCTATGCAGCCTCATATGCAGCAAACTGCAATGCACTGTGTGTTCTGACACCTTTCTATCATGGCCATCATTAAATTTTTCAGCAATTTTAGCTACAGTAACTCTTCTGTGTGATCATACCAGACAGGCTAGCCTTCGCTCCCCTTGTGCATCAACGATGTCGGCTCTCTGTGTTTTGCTGTTATAATTGCAAATTGATCTATCAGAACGTTAGATAAATATTGGCTCCTACTAAGTTTTTAAAAAATACATTGTTATAACGGAGATATATTGTACCCTCTAGCAGGGATAATAAATAGATGTGTTACCACTGGCTTTGCACTAATAGTGGAGCTTAAAAAACAAGAGTGCAAAACACGTGAACTGCCATCTTGTCACTTTGCATGTTGCTGAATTAATTTTAATACCCATACATGGGAGCATAAATAAGTTTAACATTTTATTTTAAAGTCTGGTTGCTGTTATGTATTTTGTGCATTCATTGGTGTGGTTGGACCACCACAATTCATACAGGAAGCATACACAAGTGACGCACGCATGCACGCGCAACAGTGAAACAGTCATTCGGCTCCTGGCAAATGAAGCACAAAGAGCAGAAGAAAGAGGATGGTAGTGCCAATGTATTTATAACTCCCAGTAGCTGGAGCTCTGTACGATCTCAGTGGAAGTGGAGATGCCATCTTCGGGTATGGACCCCTAAAAGTAATAATTTTCACAAAACTTTTTTCCACAGGAAGGTAGATGGGATTTTTCATTCATTGCACAATTACTTCCCTTCAGCATATTACAAAACCAGAGCAAACTGAGTGTTATTGTGTATGTCATGCAATAAATATCTTGTATCGTGTATATTTACAAACTGTGCAGATCTTACAACCCTGACTTTAGTGACTTGAATGAGACACAGAGATTACATCTGCTCCATATAACTGTTATGTGTGCATGCCACCTAGAGGTAAGGAAGGGATGTTGCACAAAACTGGCTAAACAATGACTTGACAAGTTTTTTTTATATTTTAAAATAAATTAAACAAATTAAAGAATTCGATGACGTGGTTTAAACCTAAATGTGTAGTGTAATTGTCAATTAACGATAGGAGGAGGGGAAGAAACCTAAACAATATAAGGGCACACCTAAACACTTTAGTTATCAAGTAAAAATACTATTGTGGTAGGCCAAAGTATATGTTTTTGAGCAATATCAGGAAAGTGTCGGATTAAATATTTTCTATATTGAAGGTAATGCCACATTTGTGGAGTTCGGTATGAGAAATAATAGCGTGATCTACCATCTTATATCACTGTGGGATGGGAAGTAACTTGCTAGTTCTGGAACCAAAGTGTTAGGTGGTAGAGACAACTGTAGTGGATAGGGATGTGCATGGGAAAAAATTTCGGTTCAGCATTCCGAAATTCGGGACTTCGGAATGTTGGGACTTCTCTTGCAGCCGCTTAATAGATAACTCCCTAATTCCCACAGTATTAGGGAGTTATCTACCAAAAGGCTGAAAGACCTAAATTGGTTTTTCAGCCAAATTTACTAATACTAAGTAAAAATTACTTCGTATTAGTAAATTTTGCCCCTACTCACTATACTGTGAGTAGGGGCATGTCTATTAAACAGTGAGCAGCCACAGTTTAAAAAAAGAAAAAAAAAGGGGGGGGGGCCCTCCCGTGCTGCACAAGTGGGGGCCCTAAAGTAAAAAGGGGGGGGGGAACTATTGTCCTCCCCCCTGGGTGGTGGGAGGGGGCTCTAAATTACTTCAAGGGGGGACACCTATTGTCCTCCCCCTGGCCCCCACCCCCTTATTAGAATAAGGGGGGGACCTATTATCTTCCTCCTGGCCCCCACCCCTGAGCGGTTGGTGGGGGCCCTAAATTACTTCAAGGGGGGGGACCGATTGTCCTCCCCCCAGAACCCTACCCCCTGAACGGTGGGTGGGGGCCCTAAATAAAAATATACACCCTCAGGTGACTAGGGGTCCCCAAACCCCTAGTCACCCCCCTCCCCAATAAATTATTTAGCCCTACCTACCCCCCTCACCCTAAAATTAATGAGGGGGGACCATTAACTAGGTACCTGAAAAAAAAAAACAAAAAAAAAAACCTTACCATTTGATGTTTTCTTTCTTCTAAAATCTTTTTTCAGCCCCAAAAAGGGCCAAATAAAAATCCATAATAACCGTCGTACTTTGAGACAAAAAAAAAAATCCATCTTCAACCATGGAGGGCTCCGCGCAGACTGACCTCTGCAGGGCGGGGGAAGGCTTATAAAGCCTTGCCCCGCCCTGCAATTAGGCTCAGAGCACTCTGGTTGGTTGGATTAGGCCATCCAATCAGAGTGCTCTGACAGGTAAATGAAGAGACTGAAAGGTAAGTCTCTACATTTACCTGCCACATCACTCTGATTGGTTAGCTTGAAATCCAGCCAATCAGAGTGCTCTGTGTCATTTTACACAGCGTGGAAAAGTTCTTTGGAATTTTCCCACGCTGTGTAATTTGACTCATAACACCACTCTGAACCCTTGAAGGAGGGTTGAGGCCAACACTCCATCCATTCTCTGGGTAAAAGTCCTCTAAAATGAAAATCCTCTGGTACTTCTATTCCCAGGTCGCATAGATAAATCTTGGGGTGGGATGAAGATAGAAGCCCCGAAGGTTTAGAGCCGTAGCCCTTTTAAAAAAAAAAAAAAAAATTCTTTATTTTGGGTTGTGCAGAAGGTTACAGAACAAGCTTGTTCTGCCATGACAGCAGCGACAAGCTATAACATCATACATAGTATAGTTTCAGCATAGCAGTCGAAATGAATGCATATTTATATAGCTATGCAAGAAATTCGTTACAGGCTAGACACGTATCTGCGTTGTTTAGGTGGGGTTCAGTAATATACCATCTGTGTTTGGGATTACTATCATGCAAATACTGTAAAAGCTTACACTACTGTGGTTCATTGAGTAGTAATAATAACAGGATTAATAACACGTTAGGATTTATAGACATATTGCTTAGAGTTTTATACTGTATTGGGTATACATGCTACGCTGAGCTCGTTTATGTTAGCTGTTAGAAGTATTTGACTAGACTGCTTTAAGGCTTAATGCCGAATATGGGAAGCTATTGCCTAACAGTTAGAAAGTTACAGCATAGGGAGGGTTTACTATAGGTAGACAGGAGTAGGGTTAAGTATATACATGCTAGAGCAGGGTCGTTATGGTTGTGCAATAGTCAAGGGAAAGTGAAGCCATGGGAGCCTGCCTGTGGTGCATAGAGGGTAATTGCTGTTGGCGGAGTCTTGCTAGAGCTGGGTCCGTCTGCGTCCTCCTGCCAGGCCTTTCTCTTGGTGAGCCCCCATGACCCGGGTGTTACAGCGGGGTCTTAGAGTCCCTCTGCATGGCATCCAGCTTGGGCTTCCCTCTTGGTGGGCTGGTGCTTGAGGGTACCAGGGCAGTCCGCATTGCTGGGTGAGTGGCGTCTGTGTGTGGGTTTCCGTTGGATCACCCGCACTCTCCTTCCCGCAAGTCGGGCTGTTCTGCGGCCCCGTCTTGGTGCTGTTGACAGCTTTGCTGGCTCTGGTAGGGTCCCTGCAGGTGAAGATTCTCCACGTGTATCTTTGTGTAGGGCGAGTTTGGCCCAAAAAGCCTACAGCAGGCGGTCTATTCTGTGTGGTGCTGGGTGCAGGGCTGCACGTGGCGTCCGCCATGTTTTCCCCCGCTGGAGCAGCTCCCACTGCAGCGTCCACAGGGGCACCCCAAGTCCGGTGAGTTGCAGGTTGTGTTGTGGGGGTAATCATCCCCCGCGAAGACCGGGATGACCCCACCGATCCAAAGGGTGGGTGGGGGTAGCAGAGCTGCATCTGGTTCATGTTGATGAGCGTGCCCCCAGCTCTGGCTTAGGCCGCATGGCCGGTTCAGGCAGTGTTGTATCGTTTCGGTCAAGGACAGGTCTCATCCTGCTCCCCGGTTGTTCCTTCATCGCTCTCCAGTCATGGTGAGCCAGTAGTGTCAGTAGTTTAGTCAGAATTAGCGTATATTAGCCCACCGGTGCTGGAGCTCCTAGAAAACGCGGCCGGCCATCTTGGTCGTTAGGCTCCGCCACCACGGTTTAGCCCTTTTTTGTGGAGAATAAATGCCATCTCACGATAACATCCTGCAAGGGGGGTGTTTTAAGGGCCTCTGGCATTCAAGGTCCAGTGGAATGTTGATTGAGCAAAAACGGTTGGGTATATCTGGTAGGCTCGTATGAAAGCCGTCCATTAGGGTGGCCTCTAGCTCTCAGTCTCTGGCTCTCTGGTAGGTCCCTGATCCGTAGGTTATTTCGACATGATCGGTTAGAGATAATTTGTGTCAGCAACATATTAGTCAAATTAGTGGTGCCATTACAATGTTTTCAATCTGCCTTTATAGGGCTTCCGTGCGCACACAAATCGCTTGAACGTGCTATTTCATCTTCCAAGAAGCCTTTGACATTCGGCCAGGGATTTCAAAATGACACCCGAGGACTCTTCTAGAGGGTGGTAAGTCGAACCCAAAGAGCTGAGGGAGGTTGAGTAAGTCTGACTTTCCTCTCCCTGCAGGGCATGTGCAGTAGGCCTGCGCACTGTAAGCAAGTCAGCCACAGATGCCATTTTCCATGGTGTTTCTTTTGAGATTTACAGCTCGACATTGAAGGAGACAAATGCCTAGCTGTCGGCAAAGGCAGGGTGGGCGTTAAGTATCTGTGAAATGGAGGGAGTTGCAGGTTAGGGGCTTGTTTTTGGGCTTCGAGTGCAGAGCGCTCAAGCTAAGCTGCCATGCATCAAAATACCTCTCCTCCAATAAAGACATTTTTGCATATTTTTTATTGTCTGTGTAATGCATTAAAATTGAGGGAGACAATTCCTACCAGTTGTGTTACTTGAAAATCTGCATTTACATTAATTTCTCTAACAAAAGCACAAAGATATCAAGAGCGTATAAAGATATAGATCGTGAAATCCTTTAAAATGTATGCTTTACAGATCTACAACTTTTCAAACATTTAACACAAAATGTACCTCTACATGAGACATTTCAAAAACTCACTTTGGACAAATCCAGACATCGCACAGAACTTGCAAGCCCAATAAAGCTATTTGTCTGAAAAAGTTGTCATGAAAGTTGTAAATAAGAAGAATAGGAGTGATTGTAACAAACTTGATAATTGTTTTATAAATTCTTATAAAGAAAGTGATAGAAATCTTTGGCATTGCACTTCATTTCCCATGATGCTCTGCTGGCCTAAAGGTATGCCGTTTAAAATGTTATAATGAGGATTGCGGTATATACCATGTTAGCCTGATGGCTCTCTGTTAATTCTTCCATCACTTGCTGTGTTGCAGAGGGGTCAGTTCATTCATTCGGACACCAGAAAACAAAGAATACATTTCTCAGTGAAAATACACTTGTGGAAGCAGAACAAACACACACACACACAAATCTATATAGTAAAACAACAATGTTTACACGTGTCAGAGAACATTATTCTAGTGGGACTTTGACTTCCCCCTTAAGGCCTTTAAAAATCGCTAGTATAATGCTGATGCCTAACACTGATAAAACTTATAGAGAAGTACGGGCGTCCGCATAATTGTAATAACATCCATACTCTGTCCCTTATTCACCATGTCATGCATCATAGTAATGCAAAGGGTTGAGAAACCCAATGCCAAACTTCGATAGAAGCAAGTTGCCATTGTCTGATCTGATACATATGCAGATGCACAGACATACAGATACAAACACTAGCACACAGTGTTTGCATCTGTCTGTGCATCTCTGACACACATACAGATAGATACAAACACTGCCACACATTGAGATGCAGACACACATAGAAGCAAACACTGCCACACAGATACAAACACTGATTTTAAACTTTACTTTGTGCTTTTTTTTCTTTTTACACGCATGAGATTTTTATACTACAATAAATGTAAACTCCGGTAAAGATGCATATTGCAAGCACCAAATGCATCTTCACCTGTGTCTCTTAACCACCCCCTTTGTGCTACTTCTCATCTGATGAATGCCTAATCCCTTTTTGTGCATCTTGCCATCCATTTAGTGAATCTTTTTCCCCATTTTACCCCTTACTCCACCCCTCCGTGTCTTGCCATGCCCCCCTGAATCATATTCTCCACACCCAGTCCATCATGTTTCTTAGCCCCCCTCCTGCCTCTCCATGAGTCTTATCCAGGGTGACCAAATTTTGGAAATAAAAAACTGGGACACCCATAAGCTAAGGAGGCGAAGCAGGTAGAGTTGCAGCCAGACCAGCACAGTGCTGGAAATAAGAGGAGTAAAAAGTGGGCAGAAAACTGCAAATTAAAGGAACATTCTCGTCACGATAACAACTTAATAAAAATGAAATAATGGTGTCAGCAGGCCCATGGGCGCTCTCTTTCCTTTGAGGAGTTTAACCCCAAAAGCAGCCTCCTGCGCGAGATCTCCTGGTCAGCCAACAGCAGCTTCCGAAACTGAGCTTCAAGGTACTAAAGCCTCACGATTTGGTGTCCAGGATGAAGTGGAGGGATCACTAAACTTGTCTACCAAGTTGTCCTTCCCACTCCAATCTCCTTTTCTTCTTCTGACAGTCTTCTCTCCTCCTTGGCTCCTTTCTTCTCCTGAACCACTGGCATAGGACTAAAGGGAGGGGTGACGTTCTGCAGTGATGTAAAAAAGCGTCACAGCGTGCACTCTAACTGGCTGGCAATTGGCAATATCCACAAAACAAAACATGGACTGGCCCATTGTCACCCGTTCATCGTTAGGAAGAAGGGATGTGGCATGAAACCCCTTGTATCTTAGGAGCAGTGCATGGAGGTCTGCCGTCTTGCGCCGGCAAGTCAGGAGCAAGAGCAGCTCTGTAATTCAATTTGGGCAGCTGCAGGGCCCCTGTCAATAGCAAAAACTGAGACACGTGAATAAAAAAAAACAAAAAAAAAAAAAAAAACAGAAGTCTAGTAACCCTAACTATATATACCGCCATAGCAGCTTGTGCTAAAAAAAATTTCCTTTACATTTAACCCCTTAAGGACTGGACTGTTTTTGCGATGTTGTACATTTGCGACCAGGCATATTTTTACACTTTTGTGGTGTTTGTGTTTGGCTGTAATTTTCCGCTTTCTCATTTACTGTTCCCATACAAATTATATATTGTTTTTTTCAGGACAAAAGGGGCTTTCTTTACATACCATTATTTATATAATCTCATGTATTTTAATTTAAAAAAAATAAAAAAATATGATGAAAAATTGAAAAAAATACATGTTTTTTGACTTTTACTTGAAAAATCTTTTACTCATCTACAAAAGCGAATGAAAAAAACTGCTAAATAGATTCAAAATTTTGTCCTGAGTTTAAAAATACCTAGTGTTTACGTGCTTTTTTGCTTTTTTTTGCATGTTATAGGGCTATAGGTACAAGTAGGATATTGCGGTTTCAAAACATACATTTTTAAAATTTATCAATAGTGACATTGTAACACTATTATCTGTCATAAATCTCTGAATAACACCCCACATGTACATATTTTTTTTAAAGTAGACAACCCAGGGTATTCAATATGGGGTATGTCCAGTCTTTTTTAGTAGCCACTTAGTCGAAAACACTGGCCAAAGTAAGCATTCATATTTGTTTGTGTGTGAAAAAAGTAAAAAAACTAAATTGAACGCTAATTTTGGCCAGTGTTTGTGACCAAGTGGTTACTAAAAAAGACTGGACATACCCCATTTGCAATACCTTGGGTTGTCTTCTTTTGCAAATGGTATGCCAACATGGGGGTAATTCTCATTCCTGGGCTACCATACGCTCTCAAAGGCAACGTAACCAACCTGGCCATTTTCAATGTAAAAATATTTGACCAATATATTTGACCTTGTAACTTTCATAAATGCTATAAAACCTGTACATGGGGGGTACTGTTTTACTCGGGAGACATCGCTGAACACAAATATTAGTGTTTAAAAACTGGAAAACGTATCACAACAATTATATCAGTAAAAGTGCTGTTTGTGTGTGAAAAATGCAAAAAAAGTAACTTTCACTGACAATATCATCGCTGTGATATGTTTTACTGTTTTGAATCACTAATATGTGTTCAGCGAAGTCTCCCGAGTAAAACAGTACCCCCCATGTACAGGTTTTAGGGTGTCGTAGAACGTTACAGGGTAAAATACATTGCTAGCAAATTAAATTCTCTGGAATTTCGGCCTGGGTTGGCAGGCAGGTCCCTCAAATTGCAATCAATAAAATTACTGAATTATGTAAAAATATTACATAAATACGCACGTAGAATTTAAATATATATGCATATTTATATATTTGAAGTCTACGTGTATATTTATATAATTATTTATGTAATTTTGTATATGGACGTATGTATATTTCTTATTATTTTTATTTATTTTTATATACATAGATATATATACAAATTCATTCTAAGTGTATTTTGATATAAATATATATATTAATTTTAAAATAGTTAGAATAAAATTTCATATAGCTATATAATTTAAATTTTTTTATTATTTTAAAAAAAATTATTTAATTTAAATTACTTATTTATATTTTATAATAATATATATATATACACACAATATATATAGTTATTATATATATTATATATATACACACGTGTGTAATTTAATTATAAGTGTATTTTTATATTAATATAAGTACATATTAATATAAAAATACACTTAGTATGGCATTATATATATGATATATAGACATATATTATATAGATATAATATATGTCTATATATCATATATACACATATAATTATTTATTTATTTTTTTATTAACATTAACTTTATTTTATTTTTTGATTTTACACTAGCAGGGAGACTGCCTGTCAGCACAGGCAGACACATGGACACCTATTGTGACCATGTGATCGCTGTGTTAAGCGATCACATGGCCACAGGGGTCCTAATCTGCCGTGGGGAGACTGTCTGGGCTGCAGGCAGTCTCCCCACAACCGGAGCCACGCTGATCGCCGCCGGGGGAACGACGGCGATCAGGTAAGTAGCTCTGACCGTTAAGACGGTTCAGGACCGTCATCGGTCCTCAAGGCAAAAATGCCGATGACGGTCCTGAACCGTCCTCGGTCCTTAAGGGGTTAAAGGATCACTATAGGGTCAGGAACACAAACATGTATTCCTGAGCCTATAGTGCTAAACCCACCATTTAGGTGGCTTGCTCCCCTTAGCCCTCTCAAAAGGAATTAAAATTTACCTTATTTCCGGCACTGGCTCCACCCCCTTTGTGACAAAATTAAAATGGCAGATTTTTGGCCAATCCAATGCTTTCCCATAGGGGGCCAAATGCCGTTTTGGCCAATCAGGCCTTCTTCATAGAGATGCATTGAACCAATGCACTTCTGATGAAAATTCAACGTTTCCCTCCAGAGCATGGGGAAGCTGAACGGCAGGGCTGCTTACTGTGCAGCCCTGAGCCAGTAAGCCCCTCCAGTGGCCATCTAAGGAGATGCCACTTGGAGGTGTCCCTAGAGGCAATGAAAAGGCAGTGTTTGTATGAAAATGCCTGAAGGGAGCCATTATACTCACCATAACAACTACGTTAAACTGGTTATTCTGGTGACTATAGTTTTCCTTTAATCTCATGTTTCTGGCTATCAAACGCTGGCTGCAAGAGCTGCCACCAGGAAAAACAGAACTTAAAATTATTGTTCACTTGCAAAAAGCAAGTAAAAGAATTTACTAACCCCAAATTCTTTAATTTTTATATTGTTTGGATGCACAAAGCACAGACTTGGCTTTAGTAATCATTAAACTTGCCATTCTGGTTGGACTTTGGCCATTTTCACCAGGTTCTGTCCATCTGTGCAAAATCTGCAGTTTAGGGAATTACCTTGTTAATCTGAGAATTGACATAATGGTCAGAATTCAGCCAGATTTGCCCTGCTAGTTTTTATTTTATTACACATATAATGCATGACACATTAACCTTCCTTTTTTTTTTTTTCTTGAGGATCTGAAAAAGTGTTGGCCTCCCCTAAAACAAGCTTACATTTTGATAGATATTAAATAGATCAGGTGATACTGATCATATTCTTGGGGAGCCGGAAGACCGTTTGCTTGTGAGAAAGTACTCTGCAGGTTTCTAAACGCATTAAAGAACACTTTAGGGTACATCTTACAGATTACAAAAATAAATATTTGATCATCGCTTATCCAATACATACCTACTAAAGTGAATTAAAAAAGGTGCCAATTATAATTTAGAGGGGATAGCTTATCTCCTATCCCCTTAAAGAGGTGTATCCTGGTGCTCCCCATTGTAAGTAGTTAAAACATTTTAGGTTCGTTTGCCTTCTTACTTGGGCTCTGCTGGCCATTGATCCCTGCTCCCACTACCATCACTGGAGAGCCAGAAGTTCCTGCTTAGGACTCGCTCTCAGCCAGTGAGCTTAGTCCCGCATTGCAATGCTTACCTCAGGAGACTAAACAAGCTCCTGCTTATTTTTTTTACTGGAGAAATACCATTGGTGTACGTGTTTCTGCTGCTTTCCTGCAGTTAGCTTAACCAAAGAAGGAGGAACCCTTCTGCTGTTTATATAGTGTCTGTATATGGCTCCGTATCATGTGAATAGGTTAACCAGTTAACCACTACTGTATTCATTATTTGGTGCTTTATTTGCAACACTATGAATTTGTATTTCTTTCTATATGTAAATGCTGCGTGTCAGTGTTCCCAGAGCTGTGTAAGAGGGAGTATTTTACTTTATCTATTGATCTGGAGTTTATTCTTCACTCTTATTAGAATCAGAACAAAATATCAAAGGGTTAAACAAATAATTTTTCACAGCCTTCATTGCTCATATTTACAAAGGGTGCCAATATTAATGGAGGGCATTGTAGATATAACCTTCAAATGAACGTGCTCAAGATTTGTATATGGCAATTATAAGAATCTTAGCCAGCATATCAAATATATACAGTTTAATTTCTGAATTATTTACAGTGTCTCCAATGACTTAATTGTCCATTTGCAAGTTACCTGGCAAATCAGATCACAGCTTTCAGACAAGTAACCCTGTACGTTTTAATTACACAAAGCAATAAAAGATGCAAATTTTAACAAAGCGTTTAAGTTATGCAGGGATTTAACCAATCCCCACAGACGTTAAAAACTGAGCATTTATACACAGACAGCTCTCACATGCCTACCTTTATACTCCTATTTAGCAATCAGAAATTTCCGACATTGAGGATAATATACGTGGGCAAGGAACCATAGTAGCCAAAGAACAAAATGTCATTCCAGTCAACACTCCAGCAACAAATTTAAATAATATCCCCAGAACACTAACAGGGCTATTGAATAGTTAGAATTCAAACTGAATTTCAAATTTAAGGTTACAATAGCCAAACCATAAATAGTCACTAATTCAGCTGCGCATGCAGCTGAATTAGTGAATATTTGGCCATAAATTTTAAATTCACGTTAAATTCTAACTTTAGTGAAAAACCGTGTAAATGTAACTACGCCCATTGAATGATCCTTGCTGGTAGTTATAGTTAATATTAAGCTGAGGGAAGGAGTTCAATTAATAGCATTTTGTTTTTTGTAAATGACCCATATTCAGTTAAACTGGCTCTGAAGTATAGCATGAACTGAAATTGGCAAGTTCAGGTTTCTTGGGTCCAAACAACTGAGCATCGAAGGCAGAAATCTCCTGGTCAAGGTTCCAGGTATCCAGACTTTAACCTAAATAAGTGATGGCTAAACTTGACATACCAGGTGTTTGTGAAATATTTTTATTGGTGCTAATCAGTTAGACTTTAAGAAAACATAGTTGAGAAAAAGTTGCTTCAATTAAACGTATTAATACATAAATGGCAATACAGTGCACGAGAAACAAAGGCAGAGGGGGGCTTTCACAACAAGCAATAAGTATAAAACTGTACAAATTATTCTTTCTGCAATATACTTTTTTGTTTGGATTGCTCACAACTGATTTTAGGTCATTTTCAAAACTTTGGAGTCGCACAAAAAAATTGTATCTCTGTTGCCGAGGTTAACCATCACTGATCTATGCAATAGTCACAAAATACTTGCTCGCAATTTCTTGCAGTAGAACACAAAAATAATGCCCTTCGTTTGAACTGTTCATGGGACTATTTGAACAATCTTAGGTATAACATTAAGAGCTAGACCAGACAGTTGCAAAGTAGATCTAGATTTGTTACAGGGCTACAACCCCCATGATGCTTTGCCAGTCTCAAGTTATACTTGAGCCTTTTTTGGGTGCTGATGGACTGAAGCCCTTTCTATGGTTTAGATCACTAGTGTAAATCGAAAACCCAACTCTGCTCCTCAATAGACTTTTGCATTGCAGTGTCACGGGTCATGCACAACGTTTTAACAAAGCAAGGAAAAGTAGGCAAAAAAAAAAAAATCTGTTCAACCTAAAAAAATGTAACTACCAACATACAATTATTCAAATTGTGGGAGCTGAAAATGCAACTCAGTATGTTGTCAATATTTACATATATTAAAAAAGACAAGGCAAAAAATGCTGCACTGCAGCAACATAATTTAAACAAATCCCCGACAAAACGGCAAGGTACGGACAGTATGATATCAGTTACGTGACAGCACAAATGTTGTATCGATGTATACGCATCAAATAAAATTTGAATAAAAATAAAAATTGACAAAACAAGTAAAAGGGAACGAATGAGAAATACAAAATACCCTTTTACTGCCTCCCCTGTGGATTGAGGATTTTAGGGAAAAATAAATATATATTGGGTAAAATATGTTTTTTGCAAGCTGGAAACTAGATGCTGTGTATCACATGATACAGTGGATTTGCCAGTATCAAAGTTGAAGACAGTCTAGTTTTTTATCACTGGAATACCATCAATGTATATTGGTCACCATGAATACCATCCAGGACATTATGGTTCCATTAAACTGCTGTGTGTGTTCTGTTGTATCCTCACCTACATAAAATCTTACATTTTGCTGCAATACCACTCAAAAAAAAAAGTGGAGAAAAAAAAAAAAAAAGGAAGGTTTGAGATTCTTTTTTTAAACCCCAAGATCACAAGTGAGAAAACAAGTACACGTATTTTGATGTACAGATATTGAACATTAAATGCAAACACATAGCGAAAAGTTGAGATTTTAATATATACAAGAGCACGGATGGGCAAAAACACAAAGGAGCCACTGTACAATTGCTGTAGTTTTTAAACCGTTCCAGCTGAGACACTGGGTTACTTTGTGGACAAGTTTGGTGATGAGTGAGAGCCTTTAATAAGGGAGAGATACGGGACAGAAGAACTGGAGAAGAAAAGAAAAGGAAAAAAAAAAATAGGGAAAAAAAAATGAATAATCACATTTTCTACATAAAAAAATATACAGATCTCACATGTCCCATGACAATTAACAACTTTGCTGCAACTTGGAACTGCAACATAAAAATCATGTTTTAGTTGCCCTGTTCACAGCAAAGCCTTACAAGGAAAATAAATCACTTTAAAAAAAAAATGAAAACCAAAAATGTTAGAGCCACGACCTTATTGGCATTGACCAATACCAAATTCTATTTGCTTGGAGCAAAAGTGCCATAATATAAACCATAAACATATATATGAAATTTGAATTCTGAGCACATATTTTAGACCCCTTCCTGGGCATAAGGCATCATCCTAAATTTTCAAACAGAAACAGGAATTTTCTTATGGCTCTACTGTGTTAGCGACACCAATAAGCTTTTTGCGATCCAAAGTCACATGGTGTTCCGTACTACCATTATAGAGTGCTATGCAACACTTAAAGTCTGTGAAAACTAAAAAATATTCAGCAGCACAGGTAGGACTTGGTCAAATTGATTAGCTCATACAACTGTTGTGACTACACAACAGTACTTTAAGACTAAATTAAGCCCGCCCGTTTGATCCCAATGTGTTAGGCTGAGTACATGGACACATATGTTACAAAGACCACATCAGAACATTGACATCGCTAATACAGATGAGGAGGAAAAATTGTAAAAAATTCCTGTTGAGTACAAAAAAAAAGAAAAAAAAAAGGGGAAGATGTCAGGAAGGGATCTTCGTAAACTGATTTATTTTTAATTATGCCACTCCTACACACAGTAACATCACGTTAGTGAGCGTGCATGCATGCAGGAGGTGGGCAGTGGCTGTAACATTTATTAGTGATAATTCCCCTTGACGCCATTGAATTTATAAATTAAGCCATTGTGCTCAAATTTACTTCACAAGACCGATCTTCTTTGCTTCCGTTTCATATATTAGTAATCGCCACATTTTCACTATAAAGACTTCGGCTTCTTCATCCAGCACCTAAATAGTAAAAAAAAAATAGAGGATATAAGTACACCACTCCAACACATGAAGGTCATAAGGATTATTGTACTAGCACTAATCCTATCTATTCTGACCGTCAAACTGCAGAGAAAATCTGAGAAGCACCTTTTGCACTTAATCCTCGTCCTGTTAAAACCACTGCCATACATAAAGCTGTGCTATATCCTGATTACAGAATGGTCACCTAACCATTAAATGCCACTATCATTATAAGACTCCTGACACTATACCAAGCACAACCAAATAGTGTTCTAAAACATTCAATAAATAGGGTGAATAAACACTATTCAGCTGGCAAAATGTGTTAGTGTTTTACTGTGTTTTTACTATTAATAAAGAATATATATTGTTTTGTTTTTATTAATCCTGGACCTTCCTGTGCGGCCAGCTGCCTTCTGGATCCAATTTACTTGGTGGGGAATATACAATCAATATTTGCACTGTTTACTCAAGTAATTTTCCATTTATTTTAACACATTTTTCTCAATGGTGTGCAATATAAATTTCTGTTTTCTGTTCCATATCCACACAGAATACCTGAACCATCCACATTTGACTTCACTCTATTTTATGAGCTACTTTAGGGCTCTGATAAATGTGAGTGTGTATCTATTTCTTCTCACAGTAGTCTATTGCAGAATATACTACTCCGTATTGTATTATTCTTTCATTATGTGCCCCTCTACCATGTATCGTAGAATAACCATCTTTTGAGTGGTATAATCCCCACATAATAGCTCCTCAAAGTGTAAGTGCACTCTTTTCAGTGACCAATACATACTACACAGATGTAGTGCCTTCTACCATTCTTGTGGTTTCATATTCAACAACTAAGAACATTTAAGGCACTACACCAAACTGCCCCCACACACACTACATTCATGTTATGTTTTTACTTATATCTCAATGAATTACAAACCCTAAAGCAGAGCTGCAAAATACAATAACTAAAATGACATGTGCTTTTGAAATTCCTAATTGTTCAATATATAAAACAGTGTTAACCAAACAGCTAGAAAATGTATTGTCAACACAGCTAATATCATTGAGGTTCAGTCTGACATTGAGTTGGTGTCCTATGCACTCAACTCGGAAAGCAAATTATTCCAGATAGACATGGAGTAGAGGGGGTCAGGTGCACACAGAAGAAGGAAAACTATCAAAGTTCTCAATATCTGCCTGTGTAAATTCGTAAGCTGTTTGGTAAACAAACCATATAGATGAAATCACTTTAAGGACACGAAATGTGACATTTTATGAAGTCCCTTAAATATAAGATTTCATACAGAAATTCGTACATTTAATGCTCTAACATAGCTGAAAGTTGACTGAACAGAGGAGGATGCCTAGTCCACTTATAAAATAAGTTAATTATGGCGTATCACAAGCTGAGAGCTAAAATAAATGTAAAAAAAAAAAAAAGTTACCATAGCGACATCATCAAGTATGCTCTGTGGGGAACTGTGTGCCATAACCTAAAATAGAAGAGAAAAAGATGGTCAGAAATGGCATGGCAATCATTATGGTTATTGATAGCAAAAATAATTACCCAGGATGAGGATATGCTTTTTATCACTGTTATTTTTAATGTAAATTGTCCCACTGCCAGGAAGAAAAAAGAAAAAACAGGTTTACCTTGGAACACACAAAATCAACCAATGTGGCTTCTTCTTCACCTATATATTCTATAATTTTCTTGTTAATCCACGGCCTTATTCTTCGCTCCATTAGTGTCTGAAAGTTTATATATAAAAGAAAAGGTAATTCAACCTAATGCAAGTATTCAAAAGGCATCCTCTAAAGTAGAATCATTTTAAACAAACAATCTTAAAAATGAAATGCTCTAGAATAAAGCAATATGTACTTGTAGATATACAGGTCATTATCCTGTGCCGAATGCAATCATGCTAAAACGTTTCAATCATACAGACTACCAGGGTCGCCAACAAAGTGACATCCATCAGACAATGGTGGGTAATTGGCTTTTGTTGTATGCCAGAGGTATTAAGCGAAAAAAGAATATTTTTTAAATATCAGGAAAGGTAAACCTCAAATTAAATATTCTGCAGATATGCATTTTCTGGTCATTCCTAGGAACCAACATCTACTCTATCCTACATGAAATAGGCTATATAATGCTGGATATATACATAATTAGCACTTATCAGTATTCTTCCTAACCAATCATTTAGCAGTTTGATACAGCTGTATTTTCAGAGGAGGGTGGGCACAACAACTTACAGTGTCCACAATTGACCAGTCCAATGGATAAGCAAATAGCTCCGGCTTTGCAGTGGGGATTTTCTCTATAAGACTCTTGATATGTTTGCGTTTCTCTTCTGTGTTCACATTGTTTTTGGCTGAGGATTTGTCATCGTCCCCATAATCCAATGGCACCAGTTTCCTTTTCCGGGGTACCTCATCACTGTCTTCATCATCAAATTTATTAAAAACACTATCTACAGGCAGCTTCTTCCTCTTTGCAGCATTCGGTTGACTTGGACTACTGGAAGCTCCTAGGTCACAAAACAAGTTATTTGTACATTTGCGTTAAGAGACCACAGATTAAATAAAGCCACTTTAAAAGTTGTGTGTTCTAATATGATTGGCTGTAAATTATGGTAAGTCTCATTGAAAATAAAAGCAATACTGGAAAAATCACACATGTCGGGGAAGAAATCAATAAGTCTAGAAGGGAAGATGTGCCCTATATGATAAAGGCAAAGTTAATGTGCAGAATAAACTAATTTTCAGACTCACCTAATTTTAAGCTAAGTCCTATTTTTGGCCTATACTCCTCTTGAGGCTGCTGCTCTGGTGAGTTCTCATGGGGGATGATAATCCCACATGGAGACTCGTCTCCTGGAGAGTTGGGGGTCGCGTTGCCACTAGCAGACGAAACTGAGGGGGCAGAACTGATAGGCCTCAGGGTAGGTTTAAGGCAGGGTTTTGGCTCCGGTTCTTCTTCCTCTTCTATAGGTTCTTCTACTTTCTCCTCTCTAATTGGTTTCTCCTCCTCTTCTTCCTCATATACTGGCTGTGGTTTAATCTGCGGGGGCTGCCGGCGTCGTTCTGCTTCCTGCTCCATCTGTTATGATAAGAATGAATTAGTTTGTCTTATGGAATCTTTGGATTGGGTCGGAAATTCTGTGAAATTCCAAAGTCTCCATCAGTAATCGAAAAAGCGACAGAACCCCTTTAAAACAAATGAAACAATTTTATCTGGTTCAGCATGGCCTTCTGTTAATGATTTCTTAAATCATCTCTTCAGTAATGAAACATAATGGTTCACTAGGATAAACGATGGGATAGCTGAACAAAATGTTATTGCTTAAACTGTTGTCATAATGAATTGTAACGTTATAATAATCAAACCATAACACACCAATGTACAAAAATTAGTTTAGCACAGCTTAAGTGCATAGCATTAATATGATAACATCATATTATGCAATTGTTGATGTATGTGCTAACAGAGCAAATTAAGTATAATCCTTAAACCCAGCAATATTAGAGGAGACCAAAATCCCAACGTTTCGGACTTGACACCTTTCTCATACTGTCTCAAGTAAGTTACTCACTATTTTTTTTGAGCTCTGATTATACAATCTTTTTATTTACATTCATATTCAATTGAGTAACTTATAAGATAAATATGGAAGCCAAACTAGTTCACAAAATATGACTGGTGTCCAACTATAACATTTATAACTAGTTAAGCGGGGGAAAAAAAACAAAAACATCTCACCCTCTGAAGCTCTGCATCAGGATCAGGGTGGCCTTCTGCTAACAAACGCTGTCTGATTTCTTCAAGTTCTTCTTTCTCGCGTTTTCGGTCACGTTCATCTCCTTCAATCTCCTTTTCTCGATCCCTTAATCTTTTCTGAAGTGCACTACCCCTGCGTAATGCAAGAAATTTTTAATTTGTATAGGAAGGGCGGGTGTCATACACTACATAACAATTTTGAGCCCATACCATTCCAAAAACAAGTTGCTGCATAAAGTCCAAGTCATCGCAGAGTTCTTAATATAACTAGCTTCTGTTGTCAATGTTTTAGTAAAGCAAAATGCATGACTGGCCGACCTAATCTTAAACCATATCACAATCCCTTTCCACATTAACAAGTCCAGGGGAAATAAATCAACACCTTAGATTTTTGGTCTTCGTAATTATTGAACAACAATACATATCATTAAAAGTGCAAAATAATATGGTACAGCATCGGAAAAGCTGTAGATTTAACATTTCTAAAAACAGTTAATCAAAAACAACCCCCCTGACTTCCATTCCACAAAAACAAAAATTAAATGCAACATATTTAATGGAACCATGTAACATACACCTATTTCTACAAGAATAGACATTTTAAACTTCTCTAAAAAATCTTGATTTCCGTTAGGGAAGCCTATGAAAAATGAATTGCCCTGGGCTGAAGTGCTTCAAATGAATTCCTAAACATCATTTTTACTTTTAAAGGAATCACAAAATAAATAAAATAACTAGCTGTTCTTAGAATTCTATGGGGAGATGCCTCCTGATTTGGCAAGCACTGATGTGCCTGCAAAGCAGTTCCTAAAATATAGGAGTAGGGCAGTGAGCTGGGAGTAGCACATCGCGAATGAGCAATGTGGACAGAGCAGGTGTAATTTAATAAAATCTAAAATAATGCAACGTATCAATGGTAACGTAATCTACAAAATGTGGTCTATGAAGACAGGTTTACTTTAAAACTTTATCTTATTTTGGTACTGAGCTAATATGGTATCTGCATGTAGAGTGCTGCATCCAAGATAGAGAAGAAACTCCAAACAAATGCTTCTCTCTCAACTGGCTGAGCACAGTGTCTGGCATGGCACAATACATGACAGACATCAGGATTCCCGGGAGAGCTATCAGGAAAACAAAATGTAGAAAGGGTCTAGATTCAGACACCATACCATTCAATTTAAAGTGATTACCTGAGAAAATCCATTGCAGTTTTAAAAGCACCCACTAAACACCAAAACACCTTTGACCCATTGGAGCGGTTTATAGAACCTGTCCCCCTTTTCAATTCTCTGCTATTAAGTAGTTAAATCACTTTGTGTCACACCTCCTTGCATGTAACGTGCACAGCCTTCCTAAACATTTCCTGTAAAGTGAGATCTAATGTTTATACTTCATTTCTTACAGTCTGCTTAATTATTGTTGTTTTTTTTTTTTTATCTCCTACACTGTTAATAGTTTGTTAGACATTACAGGAGCCTCCTGAGTGTGATTAAAGTTCACATTACACAGCAGAAGATAAAAACTTATAAAGCAAGTTAACAACTTTTTCCATGCAGGTTGCATGTGTGACAGCCAGGGGAGGGGTGGCCAGACAGAAAAAGAGATTTAACACTGAAATGGCAGAAAATTGAGCAGTGAGGCATGATCTATACACCAAAACCACCTCACTAAGCTAAAGTTGTTTTTGTGACTATAGTGTTCCTTTCAGGCAAGTCTATCAGAAATGCCTGACAACAATTAAATGTAATATGTTTATTCTCTAACCAGAGAACCAGATAATATCCAAAATGAAAAATTACTTAAAGAGGCAGTCACTTTGGAATATTTCATAAAGTTAAAGGAATTACACTTTACAACCAGAGCCCAAGCTTACAAAATACACATTTCTACCAATTACCTGCAGCTGTTTCTAGCTATGGGAAAGGATTTTAGTAGTTCTGTGGAAGATTGTGCCATATAGTGACTCCTAGCATCTCTTTAGCTTGACTAAGATAAAACACAACAGAAATTGCAGCTTCATAGAATAACAGCATCTGTGAGTTAAAGCTTCATTGATGTGTTATCTTCAGTATGCTTCTCCCCCCTAAGCTGCAGCAAACCAAGACATACGGTCACCTTGGGATCTTTTGCAAATACCCAGAAAATATCAAAACCGACATAACCACTTTAGAAAGGTTCTCGCTAGAAGAGACTCTTAAATCCTTTTAATTCTCTCAATCTATACATTGTGGTAACCAAGACGTTAAATATATTGAAAGGTAAAAGTTATTTTCAAGGAACGGTCTGTCCAAACAGAATTAATGGAGATGATTTTCTGTGCTCCTGATCCAGGAGTGGTTACGACCAGTTGCAGAATACTTTATGAATAAAATATATATAGCAGAACAAGCACAGAGACCATGAGTGCAGTAATCTCATAAATAACGATTATGCATCAGCTCTTCTAAATGTGAGCATACTTGCTAACAAAATAATTTCAGGACAATTTTTTTTTACCTGTAATATTTGGGATCATCTCGATCATCATCATAATCCTCCAAAAATTCTTTTAGTCTTTTGGCTTCTTTGGCCTGATGTAAAAGCAAATAAAAAATAAAAACATTCAAATTAAAACCACCACCGTAGAAGGTTACTTTACTTATACATGTTACACATATGAATAAAAAATATACAAACCATGTCCCTTCGCCTTTCTTCTTCCCGTTCAGCTTCCTTCTCATATTCTCTGGCCTTTTTCCGCTCTCTTATCTCCCAGTTCTTCAAACGCTTTTGGGGGGGGAAATTTTGTTTTAAAATTACATAAAGCTTGAAAACACAAATGCAAAAGACACATAAATCGAACCACAAGGGGTGAAGCTTGTAAACCAATAAGCAACATGATTTTAAGAATGCAAAAAAACAAAAACAATGCTGTTGTACTCTTTTTTTGTGGAATTTACATCACTTTTTTTGAATGCTTTATTTAGGACAGACACCAACAAAGCACTTAATTACACAAACCGTGATCACCACCTATAGTACGCCTTTGACAATGTAACAGTACAAAAATAAAATATAAATCATAACATGAAAGTTACAACAGCAGAGGACATGTTCAAGTGGACATTATTAACTGGGCAAAAAGACTACCCAGTAGCCCGCTATAGGTGGACCACCACAGTGGCCATCCTGCCCTCTAACATGTCTGTATGTCTAACGAAACGCCCCAGTCTTTAGACATATCATAAGGCTATATAGACATTGTAGGTTTCTCCTGGGATTTTGGAAAGGGCAGTACCAGGAGAGGCAGTGAGCTGCCAACGCCCTCCAGGTCTTCTGAAGTGAAAAGCTGGAGACCTAATAAAACTACATGTAACAAAAAAACCAGACCCAATAGTTTCAATATAACCAGTGTTTCCCATAATGTGGTTTCTGAACAGATGGAGTTACATATTAGTGATGTCAAACCACTCTGCCCTCTTCCCTTCTCAAAAACAAGTAGAGCTCTGTGCTGCTGCCTGTCTGATCCCACTTCGTAAAGTAAAAACTTTACGTTGTATATTCCGAAAAAATATTTTGGATGGAAGTGGGATAAGTCTTTAAAAGACACCAGTTCTAAGTTTCTGTACAAATGTTTCATTCTTTGAAACTTTGCTCTCTTAAAGCCTACAAATTCACTAGCCAACGTATCTGGAGGGAACTTCCTGTTCCACAATATGAGTGTCATTGGAGACAGGTCAAAACCCATCAACACAGACTCAAGATTCACTCAGTGTCGCACATCTGGAGGGTCATGCCAAAGTACCACATTTGCCATGTGGCCTGTCACATGATACATGTATAAATTGTGGATACACAGCCCTCCCCAAAGTCTAGGGCGTTACAGAATTTGCTTTGCTATGCTAGGTCTTTTTCTACCCCATATGAAATTAGCAGTAGCGGTCTGTAGGCTTGGCAGGTGTAGCATTACATTCATTTTTATAGAATGCACAATCCCATTCAGAAAATTGGATTACAGTTCCAATGGTCTAGATTTGCTTTAAGGGCGTACGTTAAGGGGCCAGAGATCAAATGAAAAAAGTTTAACCCCTTAAGGACACGACATGTCATGATTCCCTTTTATTCCAGAAGTTTGGTCCTTAAGGGGTTAAATATAAAAACCATAAATGGACCGGAGCAGCACCACGTCCTGGGCGCCCATGTTAAAAGGCATAATACAGAATTTATGGAGATTGACCTTGTATCCCAACAACGACCCAAAATGATTAAGGAACTCTAGTTCAGCGACCCTTGCTCCATGCAGAAATGCTACCTTTAGTGCTGTAATAGTGGAATGTAAGTAAGATGTTTCGCATTTGCTCTATAGAAGACATCCAGAGGGTGTCTGGTATTTCGGAGTTAGTAAGCAGGGGAGCCCCAGCACCAATCTTACAGGCCTCCCTCGCTGACCTTCTCTGGAAAGCCTCGAAGGCGCAAGTTGTTGCAGTGGGACCGGTTGGACAGGTCTTCCATAGCCCCTTCTAGCTCCATGAGCAGGGTCTGTAGTACAATCCACCATTTGGCTGTGGGCATCCACCACTTTCTCCAAACTCTTCCACTCTCTGGCTCACTGCTTTGACTTCCTCTTTGATCTCCTTTGCGCATTTGGAAAATAATTGAGCCAAAATGTGTTTTTAATTCTCCCATCTGTTGGAGTATGTGCTGATGAAATAATCACAGCAGAGCTGCTCGTTCAAGCTGCCATACGGCACAAGGTCCACACCACTCTGCAATTTTCACACTTAGAAAAAGTACTTCAGCTTGCTTTATGGGTAAGGAGTATCACATGCAATGGCACTATATACAAATGGGTAAAAGTGTCCCTTTAAACTGCGCGAGGCAGGCAATAGACTTTATTGTATAAATTGCTGCTCAAAACTAAACAAGTTTTATCCCTTTAGAAAGGGTAGGTTTCAAGGGGACCAAAGCCAAGTGTGCAAACATGCACATAACTGTGGCACAGGAACGTTGACACTAGAAGCCATGCAAATATTTAACCAGCAGGGGCTGAAGTAAAGCAGCCTTTTGTGATGTCAGTCTCCAATTGGGTGGGCTTATAGCAGCAACAATTAAGTTAAAAGCAATTGTGAGGCGCCCTCCTTGCACCAACCTATGCAAAATATCACAGGTGGGTATGGTGCTTAGCGTGAGAGGTGGAGCTAACCAATTGAGCAGGCTACTCGAGTTGTTTTCCCCTTCTCAGTGTCCTTACACCCACGTTTGACAGTATAACGTGGAGGTGACTCTTTAGCCTAGAGTACTACTGTTGACATTTTTCCTATATCAGGTTGAAAACCATTCTAAACTCAAAGGTTACTCTACTCATCATAAGCACTACAGTGGTGTCATTCCCCAGTAATGGAGCAGACTGTTTTGCAATGGTTTGCCAATGCCACCAGTCATTCTATGGCTGAAGGCATCAGCTGATCGCTCTCAACCAGTGAATTGGACGTTAGCCATTTTGAAACTTTTTCCAGGATGGCCAATGACTCTGCAGAAGGTAGAGTTACACCCCTTAATAAAACAAATATGTATGTGCAGTGTTTCTTAATGAAAGAAACACATACTCCAAGAACAATAACCACTTCAAACCACTCATGGTGTTTAAAGTAACTTTAATGCAAATAATTACCTCTTGATATGCAGCTTCCTTCTCACGCAGTTTTCTTTCTAGCTTTCGTCTCTCATACGCTTCTTCCTCATCTTCCTCCCTATCTCTCTTCTTATCCTTTTCTCTATCTCTTTCTCTGTCCCGTTCTCTCTCTCTTTCACGCTCTCGCTCACGCTCCCTCTCTCTATCACGATCTCTGCTTTTCTCTCTGTAAAAGGAAAAAGCCAAAAGCATAAAAAGAAAAGCTCTCGTAAACAAATCCTCACAAGCATGCATATCCAAGCAGGAACTGAAACATCACGGCCACATTTCCATTGTAATGTATACTAGAAGAGAGGGAAAACTATACATGACATATCAATTATTTGTCTCAAACATTAAAATGGATTTAATTTTCACTATACTAACTGACTTCATGCTTTGTAGCAAAGAAAATTACTTATTTAGGACAAATTTAAAGTGACAGTATAGTCACCAGAACAACTACAGCTTAATGTAGTTATTTTGGTGAGTAAAATCATTCACTGAAGGTATTTTCATGCAAACACTGCTTTTTCAGAGAAAATGCAGTATATTTACATTGCCACCTAGGGACACCTCCAGTGGCCAGTCCCCAGATGGCCACTAGATGTGCTTCCTGGTTCAATGCTGCACAGTGTTCCTGTGCATAAAGATGTTGAACTTTCCTCATAGAGAGGCATTGATTCAATGTATCTCTAGGAGGAGGTGCTGATTAGTCAAACTGGCGTTTGGTTCCGCCCCATCCCACCTCCTTGATGATTTCAGCCAATCCAATGCTTTCAATATAGGAAAGGAGACGGATTGGGAGTGGAGCCTGCGCCAGCAGACACACACAGCTCTGAAAAGGGGGGAGGGGTGACAGGACGGACAGGCCACCTAAATGCTGTTTTTTTTAGCACTATAGGGTCATGAATACATGTTTGTCCTTTAGTGGTACAGAAGAAAATGTGTGTTGCGATTACACTTAATGAACTAGTTTCCTTGACACAGCTTATGTGAGAATCCAATGCAGTTCAACACAGATTAAGGCTCGCCAATAGTAGGCGACAGAAGAACAGCCAATTAGAGGCTTTATCTTGTAAGAATCAAATAGAAAAACATGAAATGCTGCTTTCTTAATTTTGTTAAACATTGAAAAGGTTACATTTAAAAACTTGGCGTCTTAAAATGAGATTTGAAATATACAACAAAGTAGGACCAACTACACAATAAGGAATGAAGATACTGCTAATACTATGAGCGCTGTATTCGACAACTTTTTGTTTCTAGTTGTTACGGTGTAATAAGCAATGGCTGCAGTCAATCTGGTTTAAGTCAAACCCTTTTTTTTTATTTTATCATGTATCAGTCTTTGATGTCTACGTTCACAACGGGCTCATGCATTACTATATAAAATTAAAGTGCACATAAGATATTATCCCAGTGTGAAGATGCTAAAGTAACATCTGCTTTCTTTAACATTTTGCATCACATTACAAACCTTGATCGACTCCTGTCTTTACTGTGGTCTCTTGCTCGGTCTCTGTCCTTATCACGATCTCTGTCTCTATCCCGGTCTCTGTCTCTGTCGCGGTCTTTTATCCTGTCACGGTCCCGCTCTCTTTCTTTCTCCTTCTCTCGTTCCTTTTCCCTTTCACGATCTCGCTCCCTTCTTTCTCGCTCTCGTTCCCTCTCTCGCTCTCTGCGTTCCTTCTCTATTTCTTGCCTCTCCTTTTCTTTTTTGCCTTTCTCCTCCTCCAGTTTCTAGAAAACCAACAGAATGGCGGTGTTAATATCACGTATAAAAAGACATTTTTCTCAAAAGAAAAAAAATTTAAAAAAGAAAAGAAAAAACTAAACAAATAAAAACAGCAAAGAGTACAAATAGGTGTAGCAAAAAAAATAAAGGCACAAGACTAATTTTCGTGCAAGAAGTACATATCTGGAAAGACCACTAATCTCCAACCATGGCATTTAAAGAGGTCAGAGTAACATTTCATGTGAGATCTGTCAGAAGTTCTGATCTCAAAAATCTCTTGATTACATCCAACAAGGAAGACAGGTGTATCATTTTAGCCATCTAATACACCTTGCTACTAAATATGGAACTACAATGGACTGATGCCAAGGAAAGAATAAAAAAAAAATATATAAAAATAAGTACTATTTGGATAAGTCTTTGTGGTACTGGGAAGTATATAAGACAGAGGCCAGGTGTTTACTTTAAGCTCGGAAGACTTGGGTTTAGAAGGTACCAAGTGCAAGTTTATAATTCAATGCAGCTTTAATAAAGATGAATCATGTAACAATGCACTGGTCATTAGAAGGACCTCATAGCACTGCAGTTTGCCTAGAACAAACATTTAGGTGGGTCATCACTGTTACAATGAACTATATCATATGGGCATGAAGATATAACAAAAAAAACACTGAATACATAAATTTTGCAAGGGGGTAACAATATCAAATTTCACTGCAATGGGCAGAAAATTATTTTAAAATGAAATATAAAGAGAAAAAAAAAAAAAAAAAAAAGTGTCTACACCCAGAGTACCTTGAACACACTGGAATTAAAACATCCACAGATCATCCTCGTTAGCAATTGTTTTGAATTAACTTACAGATGTTGTACTAGGACATGGACCGCCAACACTGGATTTACTTTGCCTACATGCTATGATTCTGGGAGGAAGAGCAAGTACATTGTTCAAGACAAAACAACACCAACACCATGTTAGGCTCACATATGCCCAAGTAGCACACGGTTTATACTGCATGGCATGTATAGATGATAAAACACATTAAATTCCCTTCAATGTCACATATATACACCATTGTTTGAAGTGAAGATTAAGTGTCAACTGCAGCAGTACATACAGTGCAAGTTTATTTTCTTCTTTAACAATACAATTAAGAAAAAAAGTCAACTTTAAAAGCCATCTTACCTGGCAACAACAGCACCCGAATTCCAGGATGTAGAGGTCAGAGTGTGACAGGGTGTAATTAAAGAGATAATGTATAAGGAAACGTGTGAGCATCAATGCAGGAGGGTTTAGCAAAGGGATGTGTGTGCTGGGTACTGAGACAGACAAGAAAGCACAGAGGGGGGAAATGTTTATAGGGACAGGAGAAAACAGAACTGCGCTATTGACTTGGTGGAAGAGACGTAATCCACAACTTACCTCCTTTGAAAGATTATAAAAGAAATGTTTATCTGCACAAGTGTAATACTTACAATACTCTCCTGAATGTCCAAAATATTTTACTTAAAAGGGACAATTTAAAAATCTTGATCTCTAAAGAAGTAAAAAGTAATTTTTACAATGTGCTCATCCACCAGTTAAAATACACAGGGGACATTTCATAATCCATGTGCTATGAAGCTCTTTTGATTTATGGGAAGAACAAATAAATATCAATTTTACTGCACTTTGACACAGAGGTGAGAAGACAAGAGGGAAATCAGAGAGAGAATATGTGAAAATTAAGATGGTAGAAACGTGAATTGCTTACCTTATGGTCTTCAGAATCATCAGTGCTGAAAATGGACACCCCCTACATTGCTGTTACCCTGACAGCCAGAAGGTGGCTGCAGTGTTAATTTAGAAAATCCTACCAAAACACGCAAAGGTTTACTGTGCTCCACTGTCCAGTTCTGGCAAAACCACATGGGCCAAGTAATTATGGCAAATTCATGTACTATATAGAACCTTCTTCAAAAAGATTGTCAAAGACATGTAGGACACTGAAGCCAGTTTTTAGCTATTTTAGTGTACCCCAAATAATCTAAAAACACCCAAATAGATAGGTCTGTCAAAAAGAAATGTTACAACAGAACTACCAAGGAAATACCATTCGGACTTTTAATACGATGGCTTAAAGTATTAAAAGTGTCACTGAATATTGGCACAATCTTTTTGAAAGAAACAAAGCAGTCGTAGCTTCCTCAAAACCAAATTGGTGGCACTTATGGCTACTGTGAAGGGAGCAAATATTTGCACCATCTGCAAAGGTGGACTGTGTAGCGTCAGAAAGGAGGCTTAAAACACAGCCAAAACAGGGACTTGACCAAAAAAAAAAAAGACACAACCAGCTCTGCAAAGAAAGTTACTGGTAGACATACTAGATGGCAAAATGCTGATCAAGCCAGTTGCCCCTTTGCATATTTTTCAGAGGGGGTATCCGAAATATATAGTAAAAAAACAGGAGCTCATACTTACATTGTATTCCATGTTACTTTCCAAGCTGTGAGATTCATCTTGCATTAGTCACCATATGATCTCTATCATAATGGTGGGGTTCAATGAATAGATTAGGTTTAAAGGGAATTACAATTTGTCCATGCATCTTAACTGTGGCACATGTGGTAACCACTTATCTATTAGGCTTTTCTAAAAGCACGTGTGAATGAAGATATTTTACTCCACTTGATTATATGGCAAAGTGAGGAGCAGTTATACTAGACACGGGTAAAACGTATTAGAAACACTAAGGGTTCTGGGTTGCAATCAGTTTCAAATGTAAAAAGGTGACAGGTGAAAACATTTGTTAAAAAAATAAGGAAGACAGAATTAAGTGCTGACTGGTCAGCTCAGAATTTCTCATTTCTTCACATTACAGAAAAATTAATGGGCGTGCAGTAAGAGTCAACCTCTGGCTCGGCAGCTGCTACAAGTCTCAGAATCCTTAGCCACACAGAGAGACTAAAGATTGAGGGTTATGGCAGTTTAAAGAGCAATGCAGGGTCAAAGGTTGACCATAGCTGGTGTAGTGCCTGAGCCACTGGAATGATTGGTTTATTGCAATGATTTTATTATAGATCTTCTGACATTGGAGTGCTCAGTATGTTACAAGCTATGTGATTCTGTAGAAAGTTACTCTTGTACAGGGGAAAGATAAAACAGAAAGACTACCTTGTGCGTATCCCTGAATTTGCTGATTTCTCGGGAAATCAAGTCCCTCTTATCTTCCTCCATTTCTATTGCATTTATATCCTCCTGCAGTAAAAACATTTCTGATATGGATTTATCGTTGCGGAAACCTCGATCATGCACAACATCAAGCCTTGTGTTACACTGGAATTAAAGCGCATTCATGAAAATCCACAGTTCACACGCAGAAAGCCAATACATATAACAGTACACACATTAGAGAGCAGATCAGAGTTTTTAAAAAAGCAACTGTTAAATACACACTATAATATACAACTGTGCAAAATCTGTATGAAACTTGACGTTAAAGGGGGAAAAAAATTTTTTTTTAAACTATGCATTGCCACAGAGATTAAGGCGGACAGAAAATAATGGAGGATTGAGGTATTTGTATTTCTGGAACAAGCTTCCAGGAGAGGTTTGTTTGGCCTTCCAACAGGAAAGGTATCACAGGGTACTGCAATAGTCCATTATAAAATTATACACTTAAATATATTCACTTAGGGGGTCAATGGAATTTCCTGTCACCAACACATACTGGTCCATACAGAGCTTATTGCCAACATGAGTTATCCTGCCTATAAAACATTGACATTACTTTGCAACCCTACCGTCTTTAAATCTGCAAGTTATTCTCTTTTCTAATGGGATTTTTAAACACCATATTTAACGATGGCACGTCAATAACAGTCCTTAAGGGAATATGAAAAAGGTGGTGCCAGAGAGATAATAAAATGAAATATAAGCAAGTAGTAATATAGAAAAAAAAAATGACATTAATACAGAGAGAGAACAATCTTTTTGGACTGTTCTATATGTAGTGTTTTTTATCCACTTGAGAAAGCCTTAAGGGGAGAAACGGGTTGTGGAAATTTTAACTATTTTAATAAAGGTATTTTGGCAATTTTCTTTGTTGTGAGTTAGCCATTTTATCTTCTTTTTTAACCATTTTATTATTTTACTACCTGGCATCTGAGTTTTACTTGTTCCAGAGAGAGACTATGCCAAAGCATCCTTGGTGGGGATTATACCACTTACGCCCTATCATTGAGCAGTGCGTCTGCCCAATCAAATATGAGTTACCATTTGGTATTTTTATACACTCTCCTGGTTTTATCACAGTGAGCACTATTGTTTTTTTATATATTACATATGGTCCCCATCTGACGAGATATCTACTTACAACACTCCCTCACGTATGCCATAAGTGGGGATTATACCACTGTACGCTGTTTATACTAGAGCTAGTTTTTAGCTCTCAAAAAAGTGAGTAGGACCATATAGACCTCTGATCAGCTACCTATTTGGGTTTTAATGCACTATTAGATTTTCTTTTCTCTCATAGGGATCCCTCTACTCCATAGACGTCTACCTCCGATAGAACTGCGATTGTTCGCTCATTCAAAAGGTTTTACTGAACTCTTTTTGGACTGACATACATACAATTTTTATATTTATATATTTCTTTCTTTTTATTGTTCTCTCTGTATATGTCATTGTTTATTTCTATATTACTACTTGCTTTTATTTCATTTTATTATCTCTGTGGCACCACATTTCTCTCCTTCCTTATACCTATATGGCCTGTGAGGGAGCCCTATCCTTTAGGTGTGCTGCCTTTATTTAAAGGGACACTATAGTAACCTGAACAACTTTAGCTTAATGAAGCAGTTTTGGTGTATAGAACATGCCCCTGCAGCCTCACTGCTCAATCCTCTGCCATTTAGGAGTTAAATCCCTTTGTTTATGAACCCTAGTCACACCTCCCTGCATGTGACTTGCACAGCCTTCCATAAACACTTCCTGTAAAGAGAGCCCTATTTAAGCTTTCTTTATTGCAAGTTCTGTTTAATTAAGATTTTCTTATCCCCTGCTATGTTAATAGCTTGCTAGACCCGGCAACCTTTTCACGTACTTAAGGGAATACGAGCACACAGATTTAGAACAAAATTGCTGAAAATATACACTCTTCTGTACTTGTAGAACACACAAAACTGAATTATAGAATACCTCACAAAATGTTCAATTATAAACAGACTGCTAAGAGCTGTTAGAATATACATACACTTAGGTAAGCAAGGTCCAGGACATTAAAAAATAAAAATATATATATAACCAAGAAGGCACGGTTACCAGACCCTTCAGTGTGACTGACTATACAGACAAACACTTTTCATTATCTCCTTTTATTTGCATTATTGTACCATGTAATTATTGTTTTAATTTGAAAGGGCAAACCCATAAATGAAGCTCAAAAAGTTATGGGGCCTTGATACCCTGGGCACCATCATACTTTACAGTGTTAAACCACCCAACATCTGTTCCTGGATGCCCCTCAACAAACCACCTCCCTCCTCTCCTTGGCCGTGCCAAGCCAATGGCTCCAAGGAAAAGACAAAGGCAGCGTGATGGGCTCCTGGGAACAGAATTTCTGTGTTAACCCATTTGAAAACAGTTTAACACCATCAGGTAAGAGTGCCTGAGGACTCCAAAGCCAACAACACCTTTATTAAGATTACATTATAAGACCATTTATTTCTTTAAAGAAGCAACTATTCTGTTCTCACTTTGTTTTGCAAATAGCAGAAAATACGTTTGCTATTATAATCACTAGGAAATGTATGGATTGTGATTTGCCCAGATAGTTAACCAAGTGTTATAAAAGCTTGTGCCAATACAAAAATTGTTCCCATTTTGATTTCACTTTGTTACACAAAGATTGCACTACAACGCAAGATTCTGAATGTGAGCTGCAATAAAATATTAACAATTTGCATTTTTGCACAGACTCACCAGATAGCTGCCAGAGTGGTGAGACATGATGCACCAGGCAGTTCCTCGCATGTGGGTGTAAGGCAGAGTGTGCCACCTGCCTATTTATTACATATCTGTGGTCTATGGCAAATTATTGAAAGCTAAGGAAATCCGTAAAAAATAAAAATTTACAATGGAAACATTTTCAAATGGCGACTGCCTGGTGGACAGGAGAACATGAGGCAGGAAGATTGGGCTATTAAAGGACTGCAGAATAAGTTGGCTCTATGTAAATGCCAATAATAAGCTATGGAGAAGACCCCATTAGCCAATGGTTATTCAATGCCATTGAATTGAATGCCAATTCTGTTTTGGACTCAAGACCTTAACCCGGGGGGATGCCTTGAAAATATAGATATCTATACAGTATACTTATTAATGTACGAATTTTATAGTGATTATAATGGCACTGCATTTACATAAATGTTTCGCAACTAGAGGTGGCCTCTCACTCACAAATTAAAAGACGAGAGGCCACCTCTAGTTACAAACATCAATTCTGTAATCTCTAGAAAGTGTTCACACCTATTGATACAGGATTCTATTCGCACAGGGATAGATTTATAAAGAAAAAAAATCCTGTAAGTTCTTACTTACAAGCTGGTTAATAAGCTCAACCACTTATGAGCTGTTTCTTAATAAATCCATCCCAAGCCAGCACTTAGCACACTAAACAAAGACAGTACACAAGAAAATTTAAGAACTCCACTTACTGACAACTCGTCTTTTTTATCCTTTTTTTTCTTTCGGGGGTGAGAATCTGAGTCTAGAGAAGGGGCATTTAGCTCACTGGAATATTCCTTTATTAGGACTTCAATAGCCCCTTTAATAATCCCATCCCTTCTCTTTGTCTCATCATCAATGTCATCATCCTCATCAGTTGCTGATTCAGGTTTGGCAGTCTACAGACATGAGAACCACACAAGATTAGTCAGTTGATTTTACAGCAATATTTCTTTAAAAAAAAAAAAAATAATATGTGATTTTCAGCTAATGCAGGCAGTATGGAACATGTAAATTATATAATCCATATGACACTTGATGGAAGAGGCTTCACTGACCTGTGTGCACCAGCCAAACTCATTCCTGAAGTTTCGGTACGTGACTGATAAATGCCGGAACCTTCTAATAAAGCTAGTAAGAGCATAAAGCGCAAGTAAACACTGCCCAAAGCTGGCCACAGCCTCCTTAACCATAGAAAGTAAAAGGAGTGACTCCAGCTCTGATGCAGACCACAACAGCGATGTATACAGACATACCTCAATTCTGGGATCGATGGTGCTGGGTCACAGTAAGGGAATTAGGGGGTCACAGGGCTGGTATTAAGAACCCTGTTCTATAACCATAATTTTGCTGCACAAGAGCCACTGTTTTCATCTTTAGTGACTATGGATTAATACAATGTTCTAAAACTTGCAATAAGTACCTGGGTGTGTAATGTGGGAAGAACCATACTTTAAATATGCAGCGTTAGTCAATTTAGTTCAACAGAAATGCCAATTTAAGGAATTATGCTGTCTGTGTGCAGTTAAATGTACTATGTACTAAGTCTGAGGAGAATATTGGTGTAGAACTGGCTTTTGGTTGCTAATGTAAATGTATTTTTTTATGTATTCTGTTGAAATTGCAGGAAGACGTCTTCATGGATGTTAAATCTTTTCCTTAGTAAAAATAAATTGATGGGATTGGGGAGTGTGTGTGTGTGTGTGTATGCCTGCAGCATATATTTGCGGTCATTGTAAGGAAAGAAAGGCAATCCAATTACAATCAGCCATTTATAGACAGATGAGCAGACTAAACTGTGAGTAATCCCAAACACTTGACTAACTTCAATGGTTGAAACATTTGCCAATTCTAATGTTGCTCTTAATGGTTATGTTAATTCACTAGAAATCCATTAAATTCTAATAATCAAACATCACCAGCACAACAAATAGAAGAAAATAGATATCAGAATTTGCTGGCACTATGTGTACTATAAAATGGAATACATACCCCATTTGAAGCTTTTTTATTTGCTTTCCATTCATCTAGTTGCGCTTTAGTTTTGGCATCAACCTTCACAAGTAGTTTTTTCTCCCCAATCTCAAGATCATGAAGCAAGCGTAAAGCTCGAAGGGTAGATTCTGGCTCCTTGTATTCACAAAATCCAAATGCTGAGAAAGCGCATGAAAATGGTTAGAGAACCAACACAATAACTATCACAGCCTGCAAGCTTAGTATCCCTGAAGAAGTTGCTCAGATCCATACAGTATGACTCCTTATACCATATATTAACTGGAAAAAATATACAAAGAAATTGGGCCTAATGGATTCCTGCAATTTCATATGGATCTCACTGCAGCAGTGTATGCATTTTTTTTTTTTTTTTTAATATAGCTCAACTGAAATGCAGACAAAACTTCCCTGGTACCATGGAGTAGGGGTTGGGGGATTTGCACTTGTAATAGTTCTTTTGGATTGCATCAGTGGAATTGAATCAGTGAAGAGAATATGGTTTAATTGGGTGGCGACCGTTTCAAAATTGAAAAAGTATGCTTTAGACAGTAGGCACCAGAGGTACCAATTTTAGCAAAATACAATAAACAAGACAATGACAAGGGCAGACTGAAACCTAACCTGTGCAAGTAGTATAGTGCCTGAAGGGGCTAACTAAAAAAAAAAAAAAAATTTCACCAAGAGGGTGATTTTCAGAGAATTATCGAAGACCACAATTGGCAATGGATTGTCCTGTATGAAGATCCACAATGTAAAAAATCCAACGTAAATATTTATGGTGACACACTTGAGAAGGAAGACAACTTCCCCAGCACATGAATCTGAAATTGTTCTGCGTTAAACTGTGTTTAATATTCATACACACCCTGAAGTTTTCCAGATGCTCCTTGCACTCGTTTCCAGCTCAAAACCAAACCACATTTCTTAAAGAAAAAAAAAAAAAAGAGAAAAAACACATATGAAACTGAATAGGGACTATAAGTCTATTTCCACACATAACTGGAGCCAGTAAAGTTAATATTCACTGCCTAATGCTCATGGAAAAAATGGGCAACAGGCTATAGTTATACAATAATATAAAAAAAAAAAAGAAAAAACAAACAAACAAAAAAAATAAAAAATAATCACATTTAAAAGTGTTTCTATACTTCGGTAATACACCCCCAGAATTATGTATACCTTTTGGATTTTTACCATTAGACTTAAACATTCCTAGCATTCTGAAAAAACACGATTTTGTTGTGACAAAAGAAAATAAAAATCTACACCAAACTCCATTTACTATTTACCAAAAGGTAAATGGGGGACAAATCAAATAAGCAGAAAGTGTTTTACTTTTGGACACAAGATAATTATGTATTGCACAAAGAAATGTGAGGCATGGTGGTGGTAGAGTCATATTGTGAAGATGCTTGTCATTTGAAGGTACACAAACTGGTCAAAACTTTCAGTCTGCTAGAAGTGCAGGACTGGTGTGGAGGTTTACACTCTGGCAAACTATTAACCCTAAGATACACAGCCCGAACTACAGAGGGCGATTTAAATCCAAGAACATAAAAGCTGCAGAAAGGTCCAGTCAAATCCCAGACCTCAAACCAACTGTAAAAGTGCTGTTCAACAATGATTCCCATTTGACCAGAGGATGAGCAATTTTTCCAAAATAATTTATCAAACATTGCAGCGCCAAGGTGTGTATAGCTGGTAGAAATGTGGCATATTTACTCAAGTATCAAGAGGAGGGAGTATGTCACCTATAAGTTACACAAACGCTAGAGATTTGAGCAGATCTTCTATAGGCGCTGTTATGGGAGTGTACCACTTTTGGATTTATACACAATATTTGGAAATTGAAACCACAGTGTACTGCCATACATATTCTCCTTTTTATTTGTCATATACTTTTTAAGAATATTAAACTCTTGTACTCCTATATTTGTAAAGGGTGAATATGCTTATTTTAAATACACACCCACTTTCATATACTGGTGTTGGCTATGTCATCTTGTTACACAGTACATTGCTATTAAACCCTGGGATAAACAAGATATATACACGTTTCCAAGTCATATGTATAGGCAAGTTAGATCGCTTTTGAACATGAAGCAATGCAGATCACAAAAATGCAAAATAATCCTTACTGCTAGAAGTTGCCTGATGAGCATGTCAGATGCCTTTTCTGAAATATTTCCTACAAAAACAGTGGTTGTTGGACCACTATTTTCATCATTTTCCTTATTTTTTAGACCCATTAGGTCTTTCCGAGGTCCGAGATGTTTTCCAACCATGGATACTGTCGGTACTAAAACCTTTGGAAAGAGAGATGGGAGAAAAAACAAACATTCTTGTTAAGATGGAATGCACATTATGTTCTGTTTTAAGAGATAATGGTCACTAAAAACTTCAATATCGTAGTATAATATTTATGCTCTTCCTATTATTTTTTTTAAGTTGGCTGCTTTCTTATCAGACCGCCATTATTTATGCATCTTGGGTCAGATTGTAGCTTACCCCAGCCAGCACTCACTATTTTGAAACCATCCATTGCATATTTAAAAATACCCTGAAAGAAAATACTGCACACATGAAAGGGAACATGGTTTTGAAAAACAGCGGCTGCAAATTAATAAGCACTGACTGACTCAGATTGCATAACGATTGCTGCCAGAAAGGGGGAGAAGGGAAAGGCGGGCAATTAATTTATTCAAAAATGGCAATACACAACATAATATTAAAAGGGACTTGCATTAAAGTAACGCTATAGAGTCACCAAAGCAACTTTAGCTTAATGAAGCAGTCTTGGTGTAATAGATATCATGCCCTAGCAGTATCACTGCTTAAAGGGACTCTCCAGTTCCAGGAAGACAAATCGTTTTCCTTGCACTGCAGGTCCCCTCCCACCTCCCATCCCCGGTTGCTGAAGGGGTCAAAACCCCTTCAGTGACTTACCTGAGGCAGTTACCTCTAGAAGTGCTTCCTGGGTCAGTGCTTTACAATGTGCAGCACCTACGTTAATGTTCCCTATAGAGATGCATTGATTCAATGCACCTCTATGAGAAGTTAAATTGGCGCAGTGGCATTTTGCCGTGCATGCGCAATAGTCTTCAAATGCTTTCCTATGGGGGAAGCATTGGATTGGCTGAGATAGTCGAGATTGAAAATCTCAGCCATGGAGGTGGGGCCAGCTGCAGCGTCATCAGCATGGCGTGGGGGAAATAAAGGGGAGTAAAAACACTCACAGACATGCAGATACACTCAGACATACAGACACACACTAACTCACAGACATACAAGTAATTACTTATGTAAATCCACCCAGGCTCCTTACTTCTGGAGAGCTGGAGTGATAAGACTTTCCCTGGGGTCCAGTGAGGCTGCTGTCATCTCCCTACTCAGCTCCCTCTCGCGCACTGTTTAGTGAGCCGGGGGCGGGAGTGACGTCATAACGCAGCTCCCAGCATCACTACAAGCCGCGAGAGGGAGCAGAGCAGGGAGATTACAACTCCCTCGGCACAGCATTAAGTCATTTGTCCGCTCGCCTCCCTCTGCACTCCATTACCCGGCCTCACCCTCCGTCAGCTGCCTGCCTCCCTCAGCTCTCCATGGGCTGGCCGCCCCCACCCTCAGCAATAAATGAGCCGGCCGCCCCACTCCCTCTGTCAGCCACCCGCCTCCCTCTCACAGCTCTCCATGACCCGGTCACCCTCCCTTACGTCTCAATGAGCCGACTGTCTCCCTCAGCCCTTAGTGATCCGACTGCCCGTCTCTGCTCTCAGGGGGCTCAACATGCTCACAAATTCCAGGTGCCAGGACAAATTTGTCAAGCCCTGCACTATAAGGTCAGGAATATACATGTGTATTCCTGACCCTATAGTGTTCCTTTAAGTTAAAGTTGTTTTGGTGACTATAATGTCTCTTTAAGAGATGGTATATGTTAAAGATTGGTTTTTTTTTTTTACACTAATTTAATAGGATGAACCCAAACCCAAATAGCTAAATACTGATATATTCTGTATTCTGACTTACTGTTGGTCCAGGAGCCATTAAACCCATTGGTACAGGAATCATTGGTGTCCCTGAAAACAAAACACAAGAATAAAAAAATTGCTTTTTTTCCCCTACCAAAAGGAAAAAGGAAAAGGTCTAAACGAAATGTTAATTTCACTTTAAAAAAAAAAAAAAAGGGAAAGCAATAGAAAGTATAGCGAGCAAAAGAAAATAATCATGAGAAACATTAAGTGAGGAAAGGTCCACAAAGTAACATTTTCATCTATCAGTGATAAACTTGGGATAGTAAAGATAACGTGCCACTGGAAAATAAGATAGATGGCTGCTGATAATGGGCCTCTGTACGCATTTGTAAATATTACATTAAAATCAGCTGTTTCCATCTACAATAGTAATTTACAACATTAATGTTTACACTATATTTCTAATTGAAATAGTGTTATTTCATTATTTATTTATTTTAAAAAACAAAACAAAGGAAATTTCTAAGTGACCCCCCATAGTGTATATGTTATATTTTTGTAAATTCAGTGAGCACTAGTATTTACAGTCTTTTTCAAAGACAATGTTTGCATATGAACTCGTCTTGCACGTGAATCAGAACTGCGGTCTACATTTTATGGAAGAGAGGCAGTTAATGCATTTTCCCAGTCTTCCAATATTTTAGGAAAGTCAAGTTATTTGGGACATTTAAAAATAAAAAGTCCCCATAAAATAAGTCAATGAAGGCCAATGTTGAACTATCCATGGATTATCCAAATAAACAAAACAGATTGTATGTATAATTGCCATTATTGAACGGAAGCTTTCTTTCTACTGCACCTTACACAACTAACTTTGTTAGAACACCTGCTTGGATTCTCTTTTTTTTTCTTAATGAGAGCTATGTCCAATACACAGAGGGAAAAAAATGTTGTGCCAGCAAATCAAGTCATACTGCAAAAGAAAGGATAAGGGCACTCCAAAGGTTCAATTTCAGACAATTTGTCACCAGAATGTGCAAAACAATGTTTCGACCAGTGTGGTCTTTATCAGATTGATAAGGACCACACTGGTCGAAAAGTTGTTTTGCACATTCTGGTGACAAATTGTCTGAAATTGAACCTTTGGAGTGCCCTTATCCTTTCTTTTGAAGTATTATATTTGGGATTTGGTGCTGAACCCAGATATGGTTGCACCCTGGTTCTAAGATTGAAAGATTGAGTGCAGTTCCTGTGTTACATTGAGCAAATCCGGTCATGACTGACCTATTGAGTAGCCAGGTTGTATGTTCTTTAGTTCAACAACGAAAAACACTAATCTTAACTATTATAAATGGTTTAATTTTCCTTTATGGAAAAATATTCAAGCAGTTGTATTACAGACCAAGTTAACTTACCTGGTGGTGGGGGAAAGCCTGGGAACTGAGGGGGTGGAATCCCAGGAGGAAGAGCAGGGATCCCCATAGGAGGGCGGTTCAGATGCGGAGGGTAAGACATATTTACAGTAGCAACCTAATGAACACAGGGCAGAAAAGTGTTAGAATGCCCACTGACCCAAAGAGATACTGTTTGATTGTCAAAGTAAAAGACAGCGAATAACAAGTCAAGAATTAGATCACTAGGCTTCCTTACAGACTATTCATATAGTGTATTTCCAATATCCTTGTATGCATGCAATTGAAAACTTGAGAGGTTCAAATCGAAACACCTTCAATATATTCTGTTGAAACATTGAGGTCTTATGGTATCTTTCGATTACATTGGAATTTCAATGAAACTCTAACGCAGCCTTGATCTGTAATTCATAAAGAATATATCTTTATGAAATACTGAAAAATGACAGATCTGCTATAAAATGCCTGTTTGTCCCAACCCAAAAATACAGTCTTTGTAAAATGTTCCTAAAGACTGAGTTGAAATTACACTGACCTTCCAACTCAGTCAGAAGATATAACACAAATTAGGGACTACTTTATCTTATACATTTTTCCAACGCTTGACAAGCCCACAGACATCACCAGAGACTAGCTGTAGGGAAAAAAGGGCTCTTTCTATGAAATAATCAGCAGACTTGCAGGATTCTCCAGAGACAGCGTTGTACTTTCATCCAACTAAGTGTCAGGAGCTAAAGAGGACGCTTTCCCCTGCAACCACCATAATGCAAGTGGAGCAGTCACCATCTGACCAGTGTCACAACGGTCTTCATTGAGGATACGTACCCTGATACATAGGCTCACTTCTACATCCCTATCAGTTGACAGATAGCATATTTTAAAGATCATTAGATCAGTGGGGGATTTTAGATATGGTATTCTTAAAAATAATGAACAAAAATATTTATTTGGGCACAGATTCTCAAGTCTAGGAAGTAGAGGGACTAAGTCAACCCCTGAATCCAATACATTTGAATGTGAAAAACTAATGTAAACTACATTAAATATAATGGCAGCCATTCATGTATGCACGAGACACAGCTCAAAGGGGATCTATTTATTTTTCTAAAGTGAGAAAAGTTTGTGTAGGGCGAGACATGAAACAGACGTGCATATCCCCAGTACTGGTCTCCTCAATGGGGATGGAAAGTGGATAAATGGTAGGTACAGATCAATGCACAATCCAAGCATTTTCATAATTAATTTTGCATGGCACTCTTTTATATGCAGGTGGATGCATGTATGCAAGCAAGGTCCTTAAAAATTTACTTATTATGGAAACAATTTGCTCTAGGTGGTCAAAAAAACTGCAAAACCACTCCACAAACAAAAATTAGCACCTGAACACAATCTAAAACTAATTGTAATTTAAAACTGTTCTTATGCAATTTGTAGTAAATGTTAAACGGATGGAAACACTGAATGTCAAGTTCCAGCAACTGCTCACAATAAATTGTTTAAGTTGGCAACACTGCTTTCCCAATGTAATGGAATTGGGAAGTGTTTATCTACAAAACATTGGCGTTTCATTAAAGTCAGAGTCAGTGTATGCTCCTGCATATTAATGATTCAGATTTTCTCTTTAGTGATATATTGCTAAAGTCCTATAAAAAATAAAACTGGGAGGTTCAACTTCTTTATTGATCTGTAGGACATTCGCTATTGGCTTTGAAAACAACCATTATTATATATCAGACTCACACTGGTGTGATAAGTATGTGTAGAAGTCAGGAAGTAAATTGAGTTGACTACCCCTTTAAGAACCTCTGATCTAAACTGTAAAATGCTTTCAAACCATGTGATATTCCAATTGTTTCTCATGTAAACAGAAGAATGACAAGTCTGCTTCACTCTTAATAGTAGATAAAGCAGCTACCACTGTGTATAGCAGGGGTGCCCAAAAGGTAGATCCCCAGATGTTTTGAAACGACAGCTTCCACAATGCTTTGCCATTCTAAAAGCATTCTAAATAAATGTAAAGCATCATGGAAGTTGTAGGTTTATAACATCTGCTGATCTACCTTTTGGGTCCCATTGTATAGCATGTTTCAGCATTGAGCCTTTACTTAACACGAGCAAACCCAACGATTACACAAAACAGACAGTTACACTAAAACCGACTGCCTGCTGAACATTTTAGAAAACAATGTATATTTACTATAACATCAAACAGGAAGGAATTACATATAAGTCTTCATACGCTTGTGTCGGCAAATAAAAGATTATTCTATTTAAAAACCACAATATTTGATAAATCGACAAACTTAAGTTATTTTGAATTATTTGTGAATTCTAGCATCATTCTAAATTATGAGACTGCAAAATAAATTAGAAATATATAGATTAACGACATCCTCTTAATAATGAAGCCTTTACTTTTTGCCAATATGCAATTGCAGGTATTTCTGTAATTTTAGTACTAATCAGTAAATCTGTTAAGTGTTTAATTTAATTTGTGCACAAAAACAAAAGCTTATTTTAAGAATTTTTTTTTAGCATGGCAGAAAAAATACATATCAATATAGATAAAATGATCGTAATGGATATTGACTTTAGTTTCATATCAGGCAACAGACTAGTGGTAGCCATCCCTCAACTTGTTGTGGACTTTATCACGCAGTCAGCATGGCATTACCAACAGTAAAAATATAAATTGCCATAATAGCTAGAGTGCCACAAGTTAGCCCATCAACGAGGCCAAAAAAGAATTATCCCCGAAACATTCTTGTGGTATGACAGGGGGGGGCAATAAAGAATATCTAATATTTTTAAGTAGAGTGCACTCAGGGGTCTTCCAAACAAATCTGAAGTTATTCACACATACATTATATATATATTTTTTGATTGTTTCACTGTTTATCTTCAGAAAGACCCTAACGGGTCAAAACGTCCCAAAACAAAATAAATAAATAAAAATTTACATTTCTCTTTGTGAATAAATACATAGTTTGTTCGGAACACTTCCAGGGTGAGTGCGCCCTATTTTACGGTTGGTGTTTATATAGCGCCAACTTACCCCGAAGCGCTTTACAAGAATTAAAAAAAATATTAAAAAGTATTAATGAAGCACTGCACTTAGGCTTTAATTAATTTTTGCTCTTCGGGGAGGCGAGTGCCAGCTCTCCTAAAAAATTTCATATATGTACACACAGATATTTTGATATTATATTATATACCACATTACTCAGTAAAGGGAAGGATGGGGTTTAACCCTTAAAGTACCAGAAAGGGGGGGGAGTGAGGGGGGTGTTCAACCCTGCCCCCCCATGCTCCCACCCCCCCAGCACAGAAAGGGTTAACGTGTTACGGCCTCTACAGCCACACCATAGCATGAATATGAAGAGTGAGAGAAATAATATGAAATAAAAAGTTATGAGAAACAATAATCACTTTATACTTCCAGAGGGGAGGGAGTCCCGCCATGGTCCCAGCCTTGGGAACGTGCTGCTGGGCCGGTAGGTTGTCTCTGCTTGGTACCGGCCGCTTCTCCTCCTCCCTTTAGTGATGAGGGAAGAAGGGAGGTTGGAGAGATTGGAGTGAGGTGACCCCCAGCCCCTCCCGGGTAAAGGATTGGATTAACAGTGCTACCTCCCCCCCAATCACAGACACACAGATAACGGGGGGCTGCCTGGGGCCCTGTGTCCGGCTCACTCACCCGCCCCAGCCGGGAAGGGGCCGCCTCGCTGCCGGTTATATATCTAGGTAAGCTCCTGGGTAGGCCTCGGTATGCCCGCTGTTTGCTGCCCCCCCGCTCGCTGAGCTCTGCTGCACGACTGGCAGGCCTGGACGCTTCTGCTAGGCCGCACTCACGCCGCAGCGCTCGATACACCCGGCATGCAAAGCGGCACACACAAAAAAGGGGGCGTGACGCTACGGCCGTAGGAGGTGGGCTGGAGAAACGTGAGCGCGCCGCCTGCGCCATCTTGGTAGAGAAGAGCCAAAATGTCTCCTCTGGGCAGACATCTTGAAGGAGGCAATAGGACTGATGTTATGTTTTTTTTTTTTTTAATATACATATATATTATTTTTTATATATATATATATTTAATTTATTTTTTATATATATATATTTTATTTATTTTTATATATATATATATATATTGTTTTTTATATATATAGATTTTATTTATTTTTTATATACATATTTTTTATTTATTTTTTTATATATATATTTTTATTTTATTTTTTTAAAGATATTACTGTAACATCTTCTCTAGGAGATTGGCTAGTTCCACCCAGCCCCTGTATTTTGGTTTATGTTGATCAGAGTAACTGGAGCTAATCTCTTGTAGAATGGGATTTAGTAGCTCTGAGAAAATAAAGGGTTCACGCACACCTAAACAACTTGAGTTAATGAAGTGGTTTGGGAGTATAGCGCATGTTTATGTAGCCTCACACTTCATTTCAATGCAATTTGGGAGTTAGATAAGATTTTATGCAATCCTAGACACATCTCACCTGACGTAGACTCCCACAAACTCCAGGAACAAATTTCTATTTTCTGTTAGATTTACAAGTATAGTGTGTTTACATAAAGAGACACTAAAGGCATCAAAACAACTTTAGTTTCAATGAAGCAGTGTATAATGTATATATCATAACCCTGCAGTCACATTGCTCAATTATATGCCATTTAGGAGTTAGAACACATTTGTTTCGGTTTATGCAGCCCTAGCCACACTTTCCCTGGCTCTGACTCACATGGCGTGCATAAAAAAAAAAAAAAGTTTAATTTTCAATCAGATCTTAACTATATTTAGACGTCTTTATCTACTGCTCTGTAAATTGAACTTTAAATCACACACAAGAGGCTTCTTTCCGGGTCTAGAAGGCTATTAACAGAGCAGGAGATAAGAAATTGTAAATTAAACAGACTGCGCAATAAAGGGCGTGTAAACATTAGATGACTCTTTCAGGAAATGTTTAGAAATGCACGGAGGTGTCACTAGGGTTGCATAAACAAAGTGATTTAACTCCTAAATGGTAGAGAGAACTTAGCAGTAACTGCAAGGGCATGACATAAACTGTAACCGCCTATACTCCTATTTACCACTAAACGTCTTAAAGCATATAATTTAGCATGTCTGACCGTACAGATATCTTTAGCCATAATGTTATATAGTTGTTAAAAGTTTCTCTATTTAAAAATATAAATAATTGAGAATACAATAGAAAATAGGGAATGTTTTGGAAGTAATTTTGTCTTTTAAAATATTTTTATTGAAAGTAATTAAATATAGGCATATAAAAACTTTATAATACATTATAATAAAATACAGCAGCGTGTATAAAATTAAGTATATGCTTGCAATATAAATAAAATAGAATAACATACCCTCTCAGTCTTGTAAAATGTAGCAGCTTCTCTGCTTCCAATTTCTCCCCTCTGTCATTAATATTAATAAGTACACATATTTATACCCTAAATTTTCAATTAGGTTAGAAAAACAGAAAAACACACCTATTCTACCTTATCCTGGCAAGGAGACTAGGCCATGGTCATTAAATGACATAGCCTTGATTTGTTCATTACACATAGGAAAATTAAAGAAAAACATCTTAATCAGTCTGTTGCACGACACCACCTCCTGATCCAGATCGACATACATCCAGTTATGAACCCATGTTCCTTTCTGAGCGACAGGTCTAAAATTGCCTTCCTTATAAATTACCTCTCTGGTAGGGCTTTGGCCTGGGCCAATCCTATATGGGAATCAGGTCCTACCATGTCGTACGCCGGTTTCGTGTCTGCGTTTAAAAGAACATTTGATATGTCAGGCAGGGTTACATCTGCTGGGAAAGCCTTACTGAGAATTAAACAGGGATCTAGATCTGTAGCGGATTACACTATTGAGTTCCGTACACTAATGGCCGAGGTAGTGTGAAACAATGACACCCTAGTAACCGCCTTTTTAAGAGGGTTTAGCTGGATATCTGTTAGATGTGATAGCCTATAGAGAGATACGCTTGTTATTGGACGAGCTCATCAACTACTGTATAGTAATAGATAATCGCATCAGAGAAAGGCGTACCCAGTGAGACGCCTATAGCAGGGCGTACGCTCACCCCTTACCCGCATAACCCTCCACACATTTGCTTGCTCTGCCAGAACCAATGCAACTGGGCTCTGCCAAAAGGAAAAGCAACGCAGAAGGAAAGAAGGCTTATGCCTTTATTGCGGAAAGAAAGACCTGTCCCGATCTTCATGGAAACACCAGTGCTCAAGACCCAGCGAGGGGCCGGCTTTGGGTGTTTTGACATTATCCCCTCATGATAAATCCACCCGACCACTTATAACTGTTGTTTTGTTTGTTAATGGTAAAACCATCACCACCAAGGCATTGATTGATTCAGGTGCAGCAGGGAATCTTATGGTCCAATCCTTCACTGAGACCTCTGCCCTGACTCTGATCCAAAAAACTACACCCTTGGCCGTTGAGGCCCTCAATGGTAGATCATTAACAAGACCGAAGATTACCCACGAAACCCAGGAGTTGCACATGTCCATAGGGGCTCTACATAAGGAACACATTACTTTCCAGATACTGTTCCCCTTCCTGCCCTATAGTCCTTGGTTTCCCTTGGTTGGTGAAACACAATCCTGTTATTGACTGGATTAACCTGGATATACTATCGTGGAGTGATTATTGCCACACAACTTGTCTTGAGCCTATACGCCGATACTTTGAATCTGCCCTCACCCCCTCCTCTGTCTACTACAGTGCCTCCGCAGTATACCGACCTGGCACAGGTATTTGAGAAACGAGAGGCTGAGAAACTCCCTCCTCACCGCCCATATGATTGTGCGATTGATTTGTTACCATGAACCATGCCACCTAAAGGCACGGTATATCCCCTCTCTGAGCTTGAGAACAAGATTATGGAGGAGAATATTGAGGAATCCCAAAAGAAAGGTTTTATCAGGAGATCCACATCCCCGTCAGGTGCTGGTTTCTTCTTTGTTTCAAAGAAGGAAGGTGATCTGAGACCCTGTATCGATTACAGATAACTCAATAGGATCACGGTAAGCAACGCGTACCCCATTCCACTTATCACAGAACTCTTTGACCGTGTGAAGGGTTCCAAGTACTTTACAAAGTTGGATTTTAGGGGGCTTACAACCTGGTCTGAATAAGGGAACAGGATGAGTGCAAAACCGCATTTAATACTTTCATGCTCGTTTTCCTCTGAAGCCTTTGGCTTCCCGCTCCCCTGGCGGTCTTGTCGCGGGAGGTGGGGGGACTGTTACGTCCCTGGCTGGTGCCTCAACGCAAGCGGCGGCTTGTAGGTCCCGCACACTGCTCATGGCAACATCACTTTTCCCCTCCTTCTGGACCTTGCTTGCCGTCCGCAGTTGTGTTGAATCCTGCTGGCAGTGTGTTGTATGGATATTTTCTTACCAAACTTTGGCTTGTCTTACATATACTCTGTCGTCTCTTACCCCTGACCTCGGCTTGTCTCTCCGTAGTCCGTCTCTTTGTTACCCTTTGACCTCGGCTAGTATTTTGACTATTATTTTGCTTAGCCCGGCCATTCTAAGGACCGGAACGGCAATTCTCTCATGACCATTGTGACAGTATGTAAAGGAATATTGTATGAGAAGCAATATTTTCCATTTATAACAACTTGTCAGTTTGCAAAAAGACAAAGTACACAGTTTAAGGAATTGTTGGGATCAACAAACAACCAGAACAGGGTGCTGTGCTTTATGACTAGAGAGTTTTTTTATAATGAGTTACGCAATGATCGCTTCCCACGTGACCATTTCGTGTCCTTTTTTGGCACCGAATGACACAGTTCATCCGAATGACACAGTTCATCCTACATTCTCATTTAAAACACGGCATGGGACTCTTAAAAGGCACACATGTTCAGAGCATGCGGCGTCTTAAATGGCGAAAGAATGGTGCAAGTCAAAAGACCAGTGGTCGTTCAAGTAAATCTTGACGCCATAATGGCAAGGATATGGGAATGTGTGCCTACATCCTTCTCGACACCCCTGCTTGAACCGCACTGTAAGGCGGGTGCCTGCTCTGGTGAAAGGGGAGTGCTCTGTGCATCTCCTTACTGCCTGTCAGCTGTAATGGACAGCCCCCACTGTTCGTACGCCTCTGCATAACAACCACAGTGCATGCGCTATAATTACTCCCAAGCTGGCCAGGGTTTGTAGAAGTGGAGTGACTGATGCTACCAGCATGTTGGCATTGTGGAGGAAGTTTGATGTGCTTTGGAAAATTTTATCAAGGTGCCTATTATGCTGCAACTGTTTCTTTATTCCCTCGGCAGCAAACAAACTGTTAACAGGAAAAACAAACAAACCATTATGGGGCAAAGCAACAACACAACCAATCGCACAGCTCCAGAGGGTATAAGTGTTCCAGCCAGTCTACCATCTTCCTCTTCCTTTGCCAATGAAGGAAGAA